CCAGCCACTGAGCAATGCAAGATGGGCTGCCTATCAGTCAAAAAGAAGAAGAAATAACTGCTTCCCCAATCTCGTCTTTCCCCACCTTTTCTTCCACATGAAGGCAGAAACCACCTCCTTTTCAACCTGATCAGTACGACAGCCAGACATACTGTACAGTATTTTAAGCGTATGTACACATACACAGGATGCTTGTATACTGATGCACAAAAAAATGCAATAATGAGGTCTGATGGATGAAATCACATAGACAACAAAATCATGGAAAATATGGACCAAATACACATCCAAGGAATCTATATGAATCGGTTTCATTACGAGATATTACACAAGTCAAATGCCCTAAGCATTAATACAATCAGTATAGTATAGATACATAGACTCCATCCTTTGGGTTAGATTGTGTAGCTAGTGAATGTTGGCTTGTCAGAGTTCTCTCCAGTTGTTGGTATTTGCAAGTTGCTCCCAACAGAACAGTTGTTCTGTTGGACTGAGGTGAGGAGAAGCTGGCCAAAGCAAGAATTCAGCACCATTTTGTTGAAGTCATTCCATTATAATAATAGCACTGTGTGGAAAATCGACAGTTCTTATACGAAACGAAAGAATCATTAGCTCATGGATCTCATCCTTATATTGCTGAGTGTTTGGGTTCACTTGAATCTACAGCAAAGTATGTTTCTTGACAAAGATTTTGCAACATAGTATTATACTGTATAAGTAATAGGTTTATTCCATGCCAAAAAGAGAGAAAACAAAACACAACGTTTCGGCCGTGAAGCCTTCTTCAGGTGTCAAGAAGAAGAAGGTGTCTCACACCCGAAGAAGGCTCCACAGCCAAAACATTCTGTTTCCTTTCTTCTCTTTTCAGCATGGAATAAACCTTTACTTGTTCCTTTGCAGCCTACGCATGCTGACTCAGCTCCCTACTTGAACTACTTTAAACTTTATGTACACAATGGATTAATACAAGTCTTCCACTGTTGTTTTTTTTAATTGCATCAGTATATTTTTGCATATGTCCATGTAATAAGGTCCAAGAATATTTTAGGTGTCTCACATTATCTGTAAATATGCATAAGAAAAGTATAAAATGTTCCTCTTTATTAGTAGCTGATGGGCTGAACATTATTTTACACACTGGCTATAAATATTAATCACAGATAAGAACCGTGGAGTAATAGTGTCTCAAACTGTAGGTTTTGATAGGCAGTACCTTGATAGATTGGCAAAGAAGGAATTTAACATAAAATAGTGAAGTAAATCACAGAAAGACATGTCTGGTCTCCTGTTTGATTATTTGATTCAAGTTCCGTTAGATATGTGCAAAAGGCCAGACAAAGCCAAGAAACGAATGATTTCCTTTATTTTCAGAGCAGTCCTTGTTTCTGGGACAAACAGAGAAAGTTACACTTGTCCTGTAAATATCCCTGTTTGAATGCATTTTTTTTTCTCTTGCTCTGCTTTATAATACCGTACATATCTAATGATACACAAGATCGAACAATCCTTAAGCTTGTTCGCCCCCTAACAGTTCAGCCACAGCTCCAGGAAGGGCAATCTAAAATTCAGAACAGTGAACAGAGACTGAACAATGGAACGTGAGTTTTGCCATAGGCAGTTTTTCATAAGCTTCAATTGTAATATTCTATTATCAGTCATTTGTGCCCATATCACTGGACCATCCATCTTTTATTCTGCAGCCTGTTAGCTGTAGGATTCTGTGCCCGAGACCTGTACCATCTTCGCCAATTGAGTTTGGGGGTACATGCTCTGTGCATTCACTGTGACGCATGCTTTCAAAGGTTTTACAATCCCCAGTTTCAAGTAGTAAATTATGGATGATCTACAGTCTGCCGGTTACTGTTGATAATGACTGTCAAGTCTGCTGTGACATCGTGGCAGATGAAATAGGCAGAGTGGCATAAAAGCCACTTCTGTTCTGTTCTTGACATTTACAGAGGTGGATCATTAATAATGTACCTGCATTTTTGGGCTTAGGTTTAGCATTCAAGTGGGTATACAGGAAGTGTTATAGCCCATTATAGGTCAGATCTTAGTTTTCTCACTTGAATTGAATAATCAATTGTAAATATCAGTTTACTGCATAACGGAAGTGTACTGTACATTGCATCAGAAGCTGACAGGAAAATTGACATTTACTCCCATCTCACTCCATTCTAGTCTGCCTCACTTGAGTCAGTTTTGCTGTTCCACTTCTCAAAAAGCTCAGGATTAGGACCGACCAAGAGAGAGAAAGCTCCGGAGACGCTTTGCAATGGGATAATCATGAAGAGGAAAGGCAGATGAAGCTGAGAAAAATGATGCGAGTTGAATTGCCAAACTAATAAGTTGGCAGATATCTGTAATAAGATATTACAGATCTGTACTTATCTGTAATAAGATACAGCAGATATCTATAATAAGATATCTGTAAGATATATAAACTATTCCAGCCTAACGTGTCTAGGAATATTTTACCTGCAGATTGCTTCATATGGTGGACCATGCTTGTGAAACGTTTATGACAATCCTAATTTTTCTATTTCCCCCTACACAAAAGACAACAGAAAGAAGATATGTTCAAGTATTTGGTTCCCTTGATGTACTCTCTGAAGTTTTTTTAAGAAACTTCAAAACTCTTATCCCTGTGGATGCATCAGATACAGTTTTACATATCTGCAGCATCCATGGCCTACAGGAAATATACAGCTCAGTTTGCACAACACAGCATGCTTAGTCCTGCCCAGCTCAATTCAGTGAAAATAAAGTGGGTGAAAGGTATTTTCGTAAAAAAAAAAGGATGCTGTGGAAAGATAGAAAAAAACTATGGCAGGTGTCAAGCACATGACAAAACCCTAATTTGTTACCTCCTGTTAAGATCTTGAATTTCGCCCAAATGAGTGTGTCAGAGTAGCCTTGTCTTATTTTATTTGATTTTTTTTTGTGTGTATTTTTTTGGATCGAGGATATAGCCATGTGTTTCCTGTGACTTTAAAAGGAAATTGATATTACAAGGGAATAACTAAAGTGGAATGTCCAGTGTCTATTTATTATGTAACAGTTCCCTGTATAAAGGGAAACAGGTGGATTCGAAACATTTCCTGTTAATGGCAGTACTGTAGATCAATTAAATGTCATATTAAATTATTCAATTGGAAAGTGTCTTGAGATAAATTAATTAAAATTGTCTGAATACAGTATATTAAAATAAGGGTGGCATGGTGGCACAGTGTTTAGCATTGAGGACCTGGGTTGCTGTCTGTGTGGAACTTGTTCATTCTCCTCATGTTCCCCTGGGTTTCCTCTGGATGTCCCGGTTTCCTCCCACAGTCCAAAAACATACTGGTATATTACTTTTATCTACTTTTTTCTGTATCAGAAATACAATATCAGGAAGGATTTTGCACAGTTCCTTCTGCTGTAACAAGTGGATGGAATGCAGTGGACTCCCTACTGCAATCTTAATGGCATGGACCTACAGCTAAGACATCCCTCTTTTGATCGTCTTGTTGGACAGCTGGTTCTTTCACATCTTAGTTTCATGGCCCATCTCGTGTGTTTTTGTTTGGAAAAGGCGATGGATAAGAGCTCTGCCTCCATGTGGAAGGAATTAAAAGGGATTGATGGCATTCCTGAGGGAGGTGAGTAGCCCCTAACCAGGATTTGTCACCCACCAACGTCATTACGAGGTGTCTCAAAGCTCTCTGTGGCTTCATGCGTGTTTGCTCATGTCTGATGTTAAGAGTGCCGTTTTTGTCATTCTGTGTTCATTCATTGTACCTGTTAACACCACAGTGTTGTGCCTGATCACTGTGTTTAATCATTAAAAATGGAAATAAAAATACAGATGGTTTTCTTCTTCTTTTTTGGTAGTTGTGTTTAGCTTTTAGGGGGGCATAATCGGTGATAGGACTACTACTGTATAAGTGGCATCGAAGTCAATGTCAAGTGCTGAAACCTTGCTGACACACAACATGGATGCCACTCAAGTAAAAAGGAAAACAATCCACAGGGTTACGTTTTTAAAATGACCGTGACAGTTCTCATTGTTGGGCCGTTATGGCTTTTTTCCTACTTCCACCTCTGCTTAGGAAATGGCGAAACGGGCGGGTTTCAAAGTTAGAGGCTGCTTTAAATTTTGTTTGCAGTAACTCTCATGTGCACGATCTGTGTAATGTTTGGTCAATATTCAAGTCTACTTGGTTATATTGCAGATTGCAGTTATTATGCCAGCTGCAATATAACATAGAATTATAATAACATAGACAGTGTATTAATGTGCAGAATTCAGGGCTCTTGTAATTGTGGATACCCCCTTCTTTCCAATTTAAAAATGACATTTTAAAATTTCAAGAAGCATCATCTTTTAAGGGGGACTATTTGCAAGAACAAATATTTAAAATCAATAATATTTTCGTTTTGTGGTCCCACAAACTCTCTAAGTCTTAGTCCTCAAAAATGACCACATACGTAAAACCATCACGTCTTTCATCTACATACAAATTGCCCAATACAGTTTTTCTGAGTATTCAAAATTATATTAGCAGTGGAACACCTTGGAGCAGTTTTCACTGATTGAATTGTCTCTTTTTCCAAAAATAAATATTAAAAAGATAGTGTACATTAGTGTGAGGCAACGTATCTATTTCTAATAAACTTGTCAACATTATCTGGCTGAAGTAAACTGACGTTCAAATGATTTCGGATATTGAAATTACACTTTGGAGTAAACAAAATACTGCACTGTTACTGCAATGTACACACTAAAGAACCATGTGAGAGAGAAAAAAGGCTTGTGTTCTTCTTAATAAAACTGTTTAAAAGTATGATGTAATTCCTATCTACTGCAACAGTAACAAAGCTTAGTGTTTTCTAACAATTGCAAAAAACAGGCGTATGAATATCTTTAAAAACCAGAAAACCATAGATGAAAAACATTATTCCTGCTACTGATAATGATAAATGTTTTCACCCAAAAAACACTTTTCATTTTTTTCCAGGGTGCTACAATTAAAAGGAATGAAATCACTGGAGAGATAGTAGTTGCCAGGGTGATACATGGAGGCCTAGCTGATCGCAGTGGTAAGTCAAAGCCTTCATTAAATTTTGTACATTAATATCACTCCAAGCGATTTCCCTTGTTTGGATTGTTTTCTTGGTTGGTGTAGGCGTTATTGTCTGTGGTCTGGCTAAAAGTTGTAGTCTGTGTTATATCAGAAGCCAGCTGATTTCCAAGTCATGGTTCACAATTTTCTCAGTGTCATGGGAAGTTATAAATGGCTGACAAGGGCTCTTTCAGCTCCCAGACTGCAGAAGGAAACAAACAAGACATTAAAAATCATTTATAAAGTCATGAAAAATTGCAACTGAGAGGAGGCCCAATTGATCTCATTATGCTAGTGATGAATTTTATCTTAAGATTTTCTATAGAAAATCTTTCTAGAACGTACTGTATTCAAACCATTTGGTTTCATACAGAGTTCAAGGTGACTTTACCTCTATCTCATTTTTAAACGACTAAATATAAAATGTATGTTGTTTATATTTATTTTGAAATATTTATTGAGAAACCCGGTTTTGCCAGAGAGGTTATTGCAGGTTCTATTACTGTTATTGTTTAGTCTTCCCAATGGCTATTTCAGTGTGGAGATTATTTGCCCTCTGGTTGTAGGACTGCTGTACGCGGGAGACAAGTTAGTAGAAGTTAATGGGCATTCAGTGGAAGGTCTGGAGCCAGAACAGATCATTCAGATCCTGGTAAGTATCGTCTTTAAAAGAAAAGGTGTTTCTTGTGTGAGTTTACAATTATCCCCACTAGCCTCTTGCTCCAGCTCCTACAATCTCTGTTTATCAGTGTTTCTGATTATACTGTTGGCTAAAACACTGAGCAACATTGAGAGGTGATCTGCAGCAGTTGTACTCATCTCCTCTTCCCATTAGAGAAGATTATGTTTATCTAATGTACAGTGTTACGTAAATAAAGATCTTAAAGAGATATTACTGTGATTCCTAATATTAGTCTTACTCAAAATCTTCTTCATACACCGCAGCTGAAGTTCATCACTTTGCGGGAATGATTATGTGTCTGGTTGGTGGTAGCTTTGCAATTTCACATTTCATGCCTGAAGAAAAAGCTTGCAGTTAATTATATATTATCTGCTTCAACTAAGAAGGGCTACAGACCACATACTGTTAATTACTGTTAAAACTGGGTCAATGATGGATTTTTACAACCAGCTGCTCTTAATTGGCTATACTGTACGTTACTGAGGCAAGGATAGGATTTCTCAGCCAGAGCTGTCTCAGTTCTCATACCAGTGAGCACTGCTACCGAGCAGAGCAGCTTCTCTTATCAGGTGATATAGAGCCTCCAATATGTCAGAGATTAAAAGGTTTGCAAGTGAACATGCTACATTCTCTTCTGAGCAGGTACAGGAATTGTTGCTGGAGATGCTTTATCTAATGAGTGCAGATTTAAATCCATCGATCCATCTTCTAAGTACCTTGTCCAACACAGAGTCATGGGGGAGCTGGAGTGTAACCCAGCAAGCAAGAGGCCCAAGGCAGGATATACCCTGGATGGGACACCAGTCCAGCAGGGCAGATACACAGACATGAACACACTCACACCAGGACTGATTTTTCCGGAATTGGATTAACCTGCACAGTTTTTGGACTGTGGGAGGAAACCAGAGCACCTGGAGAAAACCCATTTGAACAAAGGGAGAATGTACAAGCTCCACACTGATGGCACCCCACCAGCGTTGTGAGGAAACAATGCTATTCACAGCGTCACTATACCGCCCCTCAAATTTAAATAATTTTCTATATTTACTGTATAATCTACGGCAAATATCTTTTAATTCACATTCCATTTAAAAGCATCTTTAATTATTTTAGTTCAAGTAGACCAAGAAAACACATGAAGGCAGCTCAACAGCCAAAACATGTCTCTTTTTTTTCCTTTCACCAGGGAATAAATTTCTACCTGTTCTTTTTTTATTTTATCCCTATAATATGCTCAGGCCCAGTCCCACGGTACCATTGTGTTCAAGCTGGTCCCCATCTCAGAAAGACCAGTCAACAGCCAGACCATGGTGAGTATTGAAGGTCAGTGAGTCTCACACTGGGGACCTCTGAAGAGGCTTGGGGAAATTTTGCCCTAGGTACTGTTGGTCATGTAAATCAAGTCAGATCGGCTCTCATCAGTGGAAATGCTGTATCCAAAAGAGCAGGGAAGACATTGAAAGCGAGTTATCCAAATAGGACAAAAAACGGCAAGCTGCTTGTGTCTCTGGTAGCCTCCAAAATAGTCCTATGCTCCCAAACACCTGATTCTATGCTCCCAGCATAGGGTTCCTCCATTTCACCAAATAGGGCTATGACCCAGCAGGAGTTTAGTCCCTTTTCTCCCACCTAAAGACCACATTCATGATATCTCATCCAACTCTTGCCCCTCTCCAGTACTTCTACAAGGGTACCTAGTCTCTCTACCTGCCCAACCCTCAGGTCTGCAAGTCCAAGGCAATGTCACCTACAGCATCACACTATCCCCCTACAGCACCTTTACAAACAAGAATACACCATTCAGTCTATCTAACTCATTTGTTAGTAGCTAACTGATTAGAGGATCTCACTAACTCTGCGGATTCTTCAAACATATGGAAATACCCTATGTGACATGGCTGTGTAGGTTTCTTCTTACCCCCACAGCCCTTTGCATAAGGAAAAGCCTCCTCTTTTCATGCTTAATTGCACTTCTACAGTATGTAGTTTCCACTTGCGTCTTCTGGTTCACATTTCGAAACAAATATTCCCAATAAACAGAAATTACTGTGTAGTATACATGGATATAAGACCACAGACAAATTATTCCAGTCTCTGCTTTATATCATCAGGGTTTCTTGTACATTTTACAGTTTTGCTGTAAATGATAGTAGCAGGATAGGTAATTTATTAAATGCCAGCTGTGACTCTTGGTCCAGTCTGGGCTCTTTGCTCACAGAGGCTATACAGTAATTCAGAGAGGGATCAGTTAGATCGACCCTCAGGTTCAGGCAGCTAATAACAGTCCACTAAAGCAAGACTGGCCACACTAGGCACCCAGTACTCACAGGAAATGTAGCCATTTGACAGATTGCTTTAGCATTGGTTGATGTACTGTTGATATAATTCTGGAGCTCAAATTCAATAGGCTACAGTTTTCTTGGGCTCTTTGTGAGTCAATATTCTGGACTTTAAGATAAGATCACTTTATTGGCCATATACGAATTCTTGTATTTGGAAGTTGTCTTTTCGCATACCCCAGCTTGCTCTCCATGAGATACACAGACAGGGAGAGAAGCTGGGGGTCAGAGCGCAGAGTCAGCCATTTATACAGCGCCCCTGGAGCAGGTGGGGTTAAGGGCCTTGCTCAGGGGCCCAACGGAGTAGGATTCCTCTGCTGGCCGCGGGATATGAACCGGCAACCTTCCAGCCACAGATCCTGAGCCACAGAGCCACCGCATCGCCCAAGAGGGTAGTAAGGAGGGCACCCTACTACTAAAGTACTGGAGTTGAGTAGCCTTGTAAATTCAGTCAGCCCCTCACTGATTAATTTCTTTGCCCCTCCCTTGCAGATGTATGTGAGAGCCATGACTGATTACAGCCCCCAGCAGGATCCTGCTATACCCTGTGCCGATGCTGGAATGGCCTTCCGAAAAGGAGATATCCTGGAAATTGTGGACCAGACTGACTTCCTCTGGTGGCAAGCTAGGAAGCTTCCCAATACATCCTGCTGCGCAGGCCTAATTCCTTCTGCCAATCTCCTGAAAAGGTACATTACCATTGCTGTCTGCCATACTGTTCATGTCAGTCACCAAAATTATAATACCCTCTTTGTGAACAACCTTTCAAAACTGGCCTCTTCTGAAAATGATACTTAACAGATGTAACATCGATCTTGTTGTGGAAAACTACCTTCTGGCAGAATAATTTTAAAACCTGGGAGATAACCAGTTTGGAAGGCAATCCAGGAGAAATATCCCAAATGAAGCCGTGTTTACCTCATAATCCCGAGTTACTTTACAGGACAAGAAAAATGAAAGTGAGTTAATGTGTCTGGCAAGGATCAAAACTTTATTTAATGGATATGATTGCTTAAGAATACAGTAGGTGGGTGCTGTCACTTTAGCTTCAGATTTTAAAATGGATGTGCATGTGAGGTGGTAAAACTATTTGATGCTTGTACATTTTGAGAGCTTTTGTTCACAACAAATGAATTAGTGTCATGGGTTAGGATGCCATCTTGGATAAAGCAAAACTCGATATGCACACAGTAGGCTGTGTTTTCTGTCAAGATTATTCCTGGCAAGTTGTATTTTAAAAATATTACAATCAAATTATAAGCATGGGCAATTTGCATTTGATCTTAAGGGTATGCTCTGTAGACGTTTAAAAATCTTTTCTGTGTTAATATCTGGGGTAAAGGGATCTGGAGGCAGGGCTACTATCATGAGTGACACAAGCCATCTCAGAAAACCTCAGCAGATCTGTGGATGAATAACATAAGATGTTTAATTTCGCACTTGTCCTCCAAGGGTTTGTAGTGATAAAATGACCTTGAGTTCTCTTCCCTCATTAAAATCCCTTCCCAAAGGGCTTCCAGTGATATCAGATGCGAGTTAAATTGCTCAATTGTTTCTGAAGATTGAAGGCCTCGGTAGGGCCTGTACAGTAGGTGTAAATTTCTTATTATTTCATGAATGTCCTTTATCTTGCCCCATTTTGTTTGGCACATTTCCAGACAGCTAAAGTCCTCCACATTTTTTATTTTTTTCCAAGGAAACAACGAGAGTTCTGGTGGTCTCAGCCTCTACAGCCTCACACGTGTGTCAAAATCTGTACGTACAATGATAAAGCTTTCTCTTTCTGTGACTTTTTTCTTCAGTAATCTCTTCACTGGTGATTTCCGTTACGGCACTGATCTGAGTTCCACGGTCCATTTTAGTGGTGTGCTCAACAGTTTGGAGTAATCCAATAGTTACTTATGAGGCTACCATGCCGACCGGTTGTGGTACCGGCTACAGCTGCTGATGTGCAGAGATCACTCTTCAGTTTCCTGTTGTCTATTTGGTTATTACTGTACATATAGTTTGTAGCAGTGTTAGTATAATCGATGTAAGACCTACAGTAAGAGACCCTCAGCACTCTTGTTATAATATACTGTAGCTATCAGCAACATTCGCAGAATGGCATTGGTGTCCTTGTTCAATGTGTCATACATGTACCTATGGCTCTTTTATGCCTGCAAACATCACCTTTACCTTTGGAAATCTAAACACACAGTTATTATCCTTTCCAACAGTGAAGTCATGAGGAGTGCATATTGTGAACATTTTTGTCGAACATTTTGTACACAGCTCTCGGACATGACAGTGAATGACTAATCAGGGGTTTAAATAGAGGTTGCATTTGCTATGTTTTTCAGTGTACTATTGGCATTTGAAAATGCAATGCAGGGGTTATGAAAGTAACCCCCAAACATGGTACTCAAAATGTCATTTTCTGCCGTTGACCTATTAGGGGTTATTTTAAATGAAAGTTTGATGGCAGAGATACACCCCTTGACCTTCTAAATAAGAAATGTTAAATACAGTGAGCAAGCACTCCTTTCCCAGTTTGCCATGGCTTTGCTGCTCAGAAGCTCCTTGGTTTAATCTCCTTATTGTGTACATTTTGGGGTGCTGTGCAGTACCTTATCAGCATGTTCAGGTTGTCTTTAGCTAAGCATGCCAATGTAAAATTTGCATCTTAAATTTAAAGTTGAAGTTCCTGAAATTAGTTGTGTTTTGACCATTGTTGCCCCATGAACTTGGTTCTTTTCCCACCCACCACTCAGTGCATACTGTAGAGAGCGCATTGAGCTCTATGGTTGTGAGTCCAAGTCTATGACTGACTGGGTTTCCCCAGGTGGAGGGTAGGGTAAGATGAGCTGGCCAAGGCTATCGGCTAAACTGCTGCCACCTCTCCTCCAATTGGAATTTTCACCTCCGCTATTGGTTCAAAAGTGGACAGGTGGGAGGAGTCTGCCTTTACTTCCTGGAGTTCTTTGCCAAGACTTGACAAACAAGCAACAGGCTATTCCAAAGCGTCAGAATGTACAGTAACAGAAAGAATTGGCAAACCTAAAGTAACTAAGACAAAAAAAAGTTATGTTACCAGCTGGCATCAGGAACGGATTGTGCATCCTCCAGTACAGCTATGCTGTAAGTCATTAAGAACCCCAGTGTAAATTATCTTTCACTTCAATATTCAGAGATGCTGTTTTCTGCATACATTGAAGTCATTGTTTCCTTTTTTCCTGCTTATTCTCTGAAGTAAATACTGTGGAAGAAGGTACGTGTTTATAGTGCAGCTTGTTCTAAGACTGTGGAGATGTACAGTATGTTGGCTGTAGCCGTAGTAGTTGATAGACTAACAACAATTTCTTAAACAGCAGCACACACGGCTCCAAAAACTGTAACTTATGCTGCACATGCTGTTGCACGTGTTTTAGAAAGTCCGTTTTCAGCTCCTGAGTTAACTCACAAGTTTAAAGTCCACTTCATTCATTTCTATATATTGTATCTGGTGCATTACTGTACGTCCCTGGTGATGCTGTCTGTCTGAGAAACACCCTTCTCCAAATATTATTGCCATCAAAGTGATTCTAAATGGTGTTTCTCTAGTAGCTGTAGTGTAACTTCAGACAGCAGCCTCAGGCTGGCTGATGGGGGTTACAACATATGAAATGTCAGTATAAACTTAAAATCGTAAGAAGCTACAAATGTACAGTTTATGAAAAATAATAGGATTATGATGAATAATGATATATAATATAATGTAATGTAAAATGATATACTTGGCGTTCCTGCTTGCTCTTTAAGCTGAATTTCTTGCTAAAGAAATGGTAATTTAATGCACAAATTGTATATACCTTTGCAAAAAGCTTTTGCAGAAACCTTTAGTAAGTGATCAATTTTCATATTTCTGAACCAATTCCTGGATTGGAAAAGAGCCATTGGACCCCATCTCCCTTGCTTTCCGTGTGGCAGAAACTCTTCTAAAAACAATCTTCTTTTGCTGACTCCGAACAGATGATTGTATTTTGTGTTTTACAGAGGAGGACATGATGGCAATTGATGAAAAATGTGTCGAAACAGGTACAGTAATGGCTTGCTCTCCAGGCTCCCTGGCCAGTGTTGATTCTAATGCCTTCCATCATTCAGTGCAAGTACTTATAATAATACAATACTATGGCCAGCAGCCATATCACCCTGCAACTCACAGCTGGCAGCCCACTGGAGCTCAGCAGGTGTGAGCCTGGCCAGTACCTGGATGGGAGACCTCCTGGGAAAAACTAAGGCTGCTGCTGGAAGAGGTGTTAGTGGGCCTAGTAAGGGGCACTCACCCTGTGGTCTGTGCGAGTCCTAATACCCCAGTATAGCGACGGGGACACTATATTGTAAAAAGGCGCCGTCCTTTGGATGAGAGGTCCTGACTCTCTGTGGTCATTAAACATCCCAGGGTGTTTCTTGAAAAAAGTAGGGGTGTTACCCCAGCCTTCTGGCTAAATTTCCTATTGGCCTTTACCAATAGGAATCATGGCCTCCTAATAATCTCTATATATGAATTGGCTTCATCACTCTAATAAAAATAATACTATTCTGTGTACTAATAGATAGAATAGCTAGAACTATTATTATTATGATTATTATGATGATGATGATGATGATGATGATTATTATTATTATTATTATTATTATTATTATTACTACTACTACTACTAATAAGCGCTCAACCGGTAAAAGTCTCTGCTCAGACCGCACTACACTACAAAGCACTACACTCCAAAGCTAGCTTTCAGTAGCGATCTGCAACCAGTATTCCCTTTGCTGCTTTACATGCAAAACTGGGCAGCTACACACAGGTCATGATGAGCTGGGAAGTTCCCAGAGTTTGCAAAGTTTGCAACTCAGCAGCTCCCCCTTGTGGCTCATCTGTGGAGCTTGCATCTTTCTCAAAGATTTATCACAGCTGATCTTCCACAGCTTGTCTTGCTACGAGGGGAAGAAAGCATATTGCAACAGTGTGCACTTCTAAGAATTACTCATCTTTTATTCTTGGGAATATGCATTTTTATTATACAGACACGAATCACAATTTGAAATAAGAGAAAATAATATATCTGTAAAAGCTCCTTGGACTTGATTATGGATGAATCAGTGTCCAGTAAGCAGTGACTTATTTTAGCATCACACTGCTCAATATAGATGGGGCAGTATTTTGTATTTAAAGAAAATGATCGCCACACACTTCAACAAACTGCATTTTCAGATCGGTGAAAGTTCCAGTCAGATGAGCCACCCAAAAAGTAATTTTTAGCTTCTTTGTTAAATGAACATATTTGTGTACTGAATTTGTGTCATAGTTTTATAAATAACATAGTTTTATAAATAACACACTAAGTTGAGCACTACAGTTGCAGTTGCTGGGGTGATCGTGTTTTGTACAGTAAGAACTCTAACAAAGAAAAGCGTACACTATTTCTCTATTTTATTATTGTAACTGAATTCTGAGCAGATCATTTTTAACTTATTTCAGGAGCAAAAGACTTGGAGGTATATAAAGGTCTATTCTTTACCCTTAAATTATTCTCTTTTCACAGATGAAGAAGCTTTTGAATCTGGTAGGTAAGTCTTTATTTTTATTTGTTAGGTGGAATGTTTGTTATGTGGGACACAGATCTCTTTGTTTCAATATTCTGTTTGGCCCAAAACTAAATTTCCCCTCTTTGCATCTGTTTGTTAGAGCCATTTCACATTTGACATATTTAACAGCTGGAGAAGCTGGCATTTACTGACGTGAATCATCAGACATCCAGAAAATCCATGAGTCACTCCTGAGCAGCACACTGTGGGAACCCTATCTTACTTTCAGCATTCATATTCTTGCTTGACTTTGTCAGATCTCACAAAATGGCGTTTGTTGACCAGTAGGTGGCACTTTTCCATCTGGAACACAATTTCCAAATCAGGACCCCAGTACTGTACAGTAAATTAACCAGGGAGTCCTATGTACAGTACCACAAGAGGTGTCTTCCATCCATTAAGACATTCAGACAATATTATGACTACTTGCTAATGAAACATCCCATGACACTGTTTGTAAGGGCTGGGTGTAATCCCGGTGAGCTAGCTAATTTCCTCTCTGGGCTTACACAACCTACATGTGAGGTGCTTTGGGTTAAGAAATCACTATATAAATTACCTTCATTATTAATTCTTTAAAAAAATGTAAACTCAAGCTTACCCAATCCTATCTGTGGGCTGTCAACTATGCACTGCCACTAGGAAAACCCCCACTCATGGTCACCTAATGGCCTAGCCCAGTTTTTAATAGCGGCTTTATGATGTATACTACGAGCGGTTCTGTTAGGTGTATTCGATCCTTATAACCATATGAGCAAATGATGAGTGATAATTAATTGGGGGTAAAATCATTCAAATGATTAATACCCTGTGTCTGTCATAAACTTTTTATGCTCTAATATTCATAAAGATGGCCACTTAGTCTACCACCACACTAGATTTCTGGATCCAGGAAACTAAACACTGGACTTGCTGCTGCTGTTCTGGCATCCCGCTGACAAAAATTGAACTTACTGAACTTACTTTTCCCCTTTGCAGAGGTCATATCGCATACAGCTGCTTTAGTTTTGTGTGTTTAGGGAGATTACAAACCTCACAGGGCAGAAAGTACTAAATACACATCATATCGTAGAACAAAATGATATGTTAATTAATGCGCAATTTAAAAAAATCCAGCTTTATCTCCTATGAACTATTGACACCAAAAATACAATACTTTCTGACACACTGAGGACAGAAGTAGGGCAAAGTTTTTTCGTATTAATATATACAGTAAATACATAATTAAACATGGAAAAAATGGCATTTTAAAATGTTTATGACTTAAAAAAACAAATTTGCACAAGACAAAAGCTTGAGGTATTGTATTTACAGAGCAATGTAGAGAAGTCAGTCTAGAACAGCATCCCAATATACAGCAGCAAAAATAAGTCATCTTAAAAAGATTAACAGTGCATTTTTTTTCTTAAATTTAAATTCTGCATTTGCTTTCAAGAGGAGCTAAGAGAAGGTGAATATTTCTTTTTTTTTTTACTTTTCCTTGCACTAAATCTGTACGCATGGCTCTGAGAGGTTTTGTGCATTTCAACCTCTGTGTCCAGGATGAAAAACATGATCATTGGGAAAATGCACTACTGTAATGAACATTGTACAGTAATGAACTGGGGTATGTCTTGCTTGGTTCCATGGAACCCTGGGCTTTTGAGACCCAGTTCGTGTCCACTTTTCAAAAAGCGTTACCGCACAAAAGCCTGGCAGAACATTTGAGTCACAGATCCACTCATGAGAAATACTTGAACTGATTTGGGTTATCCAATCTTGTATGGATGAACTATGAAGTGTGTGGGAGACATATTCTCTGAAACACTGGATTTCTGAGCAGTAGTTTCACTCAGCTTCTGAATGAGACCAAGGATTCTTAAATGTAAAGAACACTGCAAATATTAAAGAATGGAAAAGAGTGCTTTTTTTAATAAACAATCACGTTTGCTTGCTAAATTGACCTTTAATAAGTACACCATTACTTTTTCCTATGAGTTGTCTCTATAACTTGAATATGAAATACTGTATGTCACTTAATGTGGTAAATGAGAAACCAAGGCTTTAAAAGCTCTAATTTATTGGACTAGGTTTAAAGTAACCCAGTTTTGACGTTGATTCTTGAACACGGTTTTGGTGATGCTGGTAAGGTCTCAAAACTTATGTCAGAATTGAAAAGGCCTAACTCATTTTCCTCTTTTTGCTATCAGTACTTTACTTGCATACAATACTATCCAAGACCTAAAAATAAACTGTTACCCTTTTTTCCTTTCTCCAGGTTGTGATGTTTGTATTTTTGTTTGGGAGATTAGATTCTTTGGAGTTGTGTGCAGAGATTTGTTTTTTTTGGCTAAGTACAGCCCAAAATTTTGTGCTGATTGACACAAAATTGGCAAAACCGGGTTCAGAGTTTGTTGTTTTCAAATATGGGGATTTGTTTATTTAAATTCCTAACCAACTATTAAAAAGTGGAGGAATTTCATCCCTAGAATGAATACTGTATATGTATAAAACTCGACAGTGCTGTACTGTAGCTATCCACAGATCCATTTAAAAGCTTCATTAGTGGTTATCTACCTCCATGAACCTGAAGGGCCCCCAATCTTTTCTTCAGTATCTTTACTTAATGGACCATTAGACATTAATCCTGACTAATTCCGTCAATACTAAGTTCAATTAAGAAACTGAGAGTTTAGTTGGGATCACAATCAGAAGACCCTGTTACTTTGCAAGACCTTAAGTCATTGATCTCTAGACTATGGTCTGGTACCAGTTTTGGAGACAACTATACTTTACCCTCACAAAGCATTGCAGATTGGTCCTTCCTGGATCTCTTAAAACCGTAGTTTTTAACCCATTGGGTTAAATTCATGAGCAGTGTTTCACTAAAGCATGGTAGTTTAATAGGTACCTAACTAATTTGCCACCTGTTACATGTTGTCCATTCGTGGATTTTTTGGTTGTTGTGCTTATGGCAATACTGACAACTTGTTCATAGTTCAAGTTATATACTGTCACTACAAGTTCTATAACAATGACTCCTTGTATCTTCTCTTACATCTCTTCCAGAAGAAGATGGGTTCAGTGCTCTAAATCAAGGCTTGTATTTAGGTATGCTGAAGTTAATTTAAAAATGAAGAAACTGGTAGATCCATTTTATCAGCAGCTGCCAAAGCAAAATAAGCTGGAGATGACTAAAACATTTCTCTTCCTGGATTCATAGTGGATGAATGATGAATTTGATGAATGATGAATTTGCCACGCCAGACGCAAGACGCAAAGTCATGAAGACAGTAAAATGAATTTGATGAATGATGAATTTGCCACGCCAGACGCCAGACGCAAAGTCATGAAGACAGTAAAACATAGGTTGGGGAAATAGAAAATATTTACAGTTTATGCATCACTGTTCAGTCTGCCCCAGTATTAGTGTTCAGTTTGAGACATTTCAAAAATGCAGTCCAGTTTAAGAAAAAGACTGAACACCAGAGCCGTGTTAAGGGGATGGCTCAGTGTTTTTGGCAGGTGCTCCTGTTTCCTCACACAGTCCAAAGGCATGCTGGTAGGCAAATTGGCTTCTGGGAAAATTGGCCCTGGTGTGAGTGTCTGTGTTTGTTCTACTGTATGATAGACTGGCATCCTGTCCAGAGTGTATCCATGTTCCTTGCCATTGTTGACCAGGATAGGGGTTACCCATAACCCTGAATTAGATAAAGCACTTAGAAAAAAGAATGAATGGATGGAAGGCTTTCCATGGGTCTTGCTCCGCTGTTAAAGCTATGACCGTGCGTGCGTTTTGTTTGACCGGCCTCTCTGTCTTCGGCCTTGTTTGTGGTCTTCAGCTGGGTTCCGCAGAAGCTTGCGCCTGTGCAGGAGAAAATCTCGCAGCAGCCACCAGCAATCCTGCTACGCTCGCTGCCCAAGCAGCTGCTACAGTGCCCTGGCCTCACCCTACGAGGAGGTAGTGAGATACCAGCGCCACCCCGAGGACAGACACCGCCTCATTGTCCTCATCGGTGAGCTACTACACCACTAGTCCACACTCCTGGTAATAAAAGTGTAAAACCTCTGAAAGGCCTTAGATAAGTGTACTTACGTACTATATAATCCAATTCTGTAAACCTGAATTTCATAAAATAACTAGCCACGCACATTGGTGTCCATATTACTGTATATTGCTGGTTCATTTTTCACTAACATAACTTCCCACTATATGGGTGTATATTAAGTGTCAGGAGCAATATAACTCAGTATAACTCAAGACAAATGGCAGCTTCAGGAGAGTTAGCTGTGAATTTAATGGATATATATCTCTAAGACAGATCCTTTGCAGTCACAGATGCCAGTGCCATGTGTTTCTCTATATAAATACACCGCCCACAAGCCTGCTGATGATGAATTTCCTCTTCAATCAAACTGTAGAATGTACGTCTTGTAAGCTGGAGGTTGTAAAATCAAGCTCCAGCTTGTAAACGACATAGTCTCGACTCTCAGAAATTCTTCAGACCCCCCTGGATTTTATTCCGACCAAATCATTAATTATCTAACCAAAAACCTTACGCAGAACCTTAATGCGTACGAGGAACTCCGATCAGCAGAAAACACATGATCCCTACCAGTGAACAGAGATCATCAATCACAGTTACATATTCTTAAAAGTCAAAGGTACTGTAGAGCTGATCACACACCAAGGAATCAAGAAGTTCAGTAAGTACATTTTAGAGATACATTCTCAAAACTCTGGACTTGAGCAATAACATTGCAGTAACATGGCCTTGAACATTGTGCAGCACCCAGACAGACACTTATTCATGAGGACTTGAATACCGTATGTTCAGTATATTTTGATCTGTTGAAGGAACACTGCACATCTGTGCTCTTACTGGGAGCTGCAGGGCTCCATATTAACTTAATTAGGCCAATTTAAACTTTTCCCCAGGGCTTAAAGCTGGAGAAAGAAGGATTTCTGCACAAATATGTAGTGCAGGTGCTCTCCTGGTGTTCCACAACTCTAGCAAGATTCGTGTTTTCAGAACACCCCTTATGCTAACGTTCAGTGTTTCCTGTGCCAAAATGAGTTCTCCCTAATACTCTGCTTGTGTTCCCCGATAAAGTAAGACATATATCCGGATCTTTGTGCTTTATTTTCTCAGGTCCCTCTGGAGTCGGGGTGAATGAGCTGCGGAGGCGTCTGATTGAAATTAACCCCAAGATCTTTCAGGGGGCCGTTCCACGTACGTGCTCTGTTTACATGTGGTTTGGGCGTTCTTCAACATTAAGGAACATTGCTGGTGATCTAGGGGTCTTGCAATGCTAAGCCTAATCTGAAAAGCTTTAACTGACATTTAGATTGCTCTCAATCCTTAACACCTTTGTGCTTTGTTTGAAAGATTGCTCCTAACCCTGCTTTAATTCAATGTGCAACAATTGTGAATTTGAATCATATTCAGAAATTGGGAAAAATAGTGTTTATCTCAGTGTTTGCCCCAAGCGCAACATTTAGCCCAACATCAACTATTGAGTTTCATCCTCCCTAAACAATAAAGCTCCATGTAACAAATACATCACTTAACAATTAACAAGAAAGACTTACTTGCCACATTCAAACATTTCCTCATTTGTTAAAAGAGAAAAGTTTAAGGGTTCATCAGAAAAAAAGGTTTTATATATTTCCAAGGTCTTGACTCCTGAAATAAGTTTTCAGATGATCTGCACAGAATTTAAGTACAGGAGAAAATAAAGTAAGCTGTTTTGTTTGTCAAAGTGCTAACTGTGCAAAAGACCATCACCACAGCAACTGCAGCTGTTTAAAACAGTTGATCTGTTATTTATTGAGTTTTGTAACACAATATATTTTCATTTATCAAAAAAGCTAAAACCTAATTTTTGGTGGCTCATTTGATTTTATTTGATGTGTCACCAGACTGAAAATACATTTTGTTAAAGTGTGTGGCAGTCATTTTCTTCTTAGAATACAAAACTGCCCAATTAGTTTAATTCTGTATTGAGCATATTGACTTACAGTGACATAAATTCACTGCTCGCTGTGAACCGATTTATATCAACCACATATTTTGGGTTGGCATTGATACTAACTTATAAGGAATCCAAAGCTTTTGTAGAAGTGTTCTTTTCCTTTATTTTTCAATTTGAGATTGGTGCCTGTATAATAAAAAATCATATTATTGTGATGAAATACAAGGGATTCTTATTGTTTTGTAACATAACCTAGCAGCTTATCTTGGGAGAGTAACGCAGTTTGGTCATTTAAAGACTGCTCAGCAGGCAAGTATAAATCTGTTCAAGGATTATTAATTCCAAAAATTTAAAAAACAATTGCTTTTAGCCTGAGTAATGGCTTATCAGTAGTGTAACCTTTTTAATGTTGTATTGGGCCAGAGCCTTTGTAGGTTTTGGTGTGTTTAATTATTGCTGTTGTCTAATGGGTAAATTTCTTAAACAGACACAACCCGACCCCCAAAGAGCTATGAGGAGAATGGGAGAGAGTATCACTTTGTAACCAAGGAGTTGTTTGAGAACATGATTCACAGTAACAGGTACTATTTGTTTCAGTAACACTTCAGTACAGGTACAGTACACAGTTTCTTGTGTAGTTTCAATAATTGAAATACAGTAACTGTTTTGGTCTCTGTGTTTGAAAGGTTCCTTGAATATGGGGAATATAAGGGCCATTTATATGGCACAAGCATTGACTCTGTCAAGGAAGTTCTGGAGAATGGAAAAATTTGCATCATTGACCTAGAGCCACAAGTAAGAATTTCTTACTACTTCTTCAACATGTTGTGATGTGAACTTCATACACAATTTGACCTGATGTGACACTTAAATAAACAAATCAATCGTTCAAGAGTAATCTTGCTGACTGGAATTGTACAACAGAATGACGTTGTGTTGGGGAAAAAATTACAGAAAAAATTATGCTGGAACTCTGGAATGATTCTTTTAGGTGTTCTGCAGCTCCTGCAGGCCTTGATTCATACCAAACAACTTTAAACTTTATCACAATATTTGTGAAAAGCTAAAAACAACAACCATTAATTGTAGTAAATCTGTTTTACAGGGCATTCAAGGTGTGAGGACACATGAACTCAAAGCATATATCATATTTATTAAGCCATCCAGCATAATTCGCATGAAACAGACAAGGAAGAGTGCCCGTATCATCACAGATTATTACGTAAACCGGCCTTTTAAAGTAAGTTTTCATTTTCAAAATGTATTTTTCTTGTTCTTTGGGAAAATACTTGAAGGACAGATTTGTCAGCCTTTAGGAATCTTCTTTGTTCCTTTTCACTTGTTGAATGTGTTTCTGTACTAATCAGTATAGAATCAATTAATAAGCGTATTTATAGCGTTGCTGCATCAAAATACTGTATTTTTATTACAAACTATAGTATACTCTCCCGTAATGGTAGAAGTGCAGACTGAAGTTTGGAACAAATGTTTCTTTTGCTATATAGTACTGACATTTTGGTGACAATGTACAGTATACAGGGGAAAACTCTATTCTGGTATTCAGTGCACCACACAGACTGCTTCCTTTGGAGTGATGCTGAGTGGCTATTCCAGAGAGGGCCACTATGAAGAGCAAAGCATAAGTGATATACAGGTTATACATGGCTCAAACGCAGACTGTATCATTAGTCAACAGTGACTGGGTTTTTTCCAAGTGGTGGTGCACAATGTTTTCACAGCTTGGTGTATAACAACAATCCCTGTGAGTTAGTGGACAGAGGTGAGCTTGTTGACTCCTCCAATCACTTCTCTGCTGTTTGTAATGCTTTTAAAGTTGGGTTGCAGAGCTCTGTACTTGAGCAACAGAGAATTGAAAATCCTACTGAACGGAGAGAAAGGGGCTTTATAATTCCATTGTTATTTTAAAATATGAAAAAGATGGTACTGGCGGACGGTGCTAAAATGGTGCTCTGCTTCACAGGAGGAGGATTTCCAGGAAATGGAGGAAATGGCGAAGAAGGTGGAGGCCCAGTACTGCCAGTTTTTTGACCACGTGATCGTAAACGACAGCTTGCAGGACTCCTGTGTCCAGCTGTTAACCGCTGTGAGGCGGGCACAGGACGAGCCGCAGTGGGTTCCAGCTCTGTGGCTCAGGCCTGCAGAAGAGTCCTGATAGAGGAGAGGGGAAAAAGGGACAAACCACACCAAAACACAGGGGTAAACCTCATCCTAGCCCAGAGACTGACTGAAACTGTGAGCTTCACTAACAGTATCTAAAGCATAACCTCAGTGCTAGAACGATGCAGTGTGCTCAAAGTTGTTTCAACGTTTTTATCAAGTTGAAGGACTTTTTAATGACCCATACATAAAAATCCTAAATGCTGGCAGTATAACAGCAAGGTTACTGTTAGAGGTCTCCTTGCAATATGGAGAATTTAGGGGCCAAAATACTTATTTTTCCTGTATTTACAGTATCCTTGAGAACTCTGGGAATCCTTTATTTTCCCTGTGAAATGACTCCAGTATGATATCACCTTTAGAATTGTTGAAGGAGTTTTACTGTATATCAACCATAATTCCTGTCCTTGTCCTTGTCCATGTCCTTAAATTAGACAGAATTCTTCTTGCTTTAGTTCCTGAGTGATGTTTTGTTTTTCAATTATTTAATCTAATTTATATTACAATATAGCCGGATTTAATGGTTTGTGGCAGTCTAGATTCCTACAGGAGGTCGCCATAGTGTGTGTTAATGGGAAACGCCTGGCTTTAGAAAGGCACAGAGATTGTGAGATTTTACAACAGGATATTTATACGATGTACCAAGAACAGCCCAATAACTTGTGTTTTCGTTATCCTTTAAAATGTACTTATTGACCATGATATTTGATTTGAATATCACTGTTCAATTACATAAATCTGGGTTTCTACAACTTTTAATGCTGTCCTTTATGCCATAAGGTTATGTCGTAGTATCTGTGATGAAAATTTAATTTACTAATTTTGGAACACCTGCCTGTGTACTCAGGTAATACAGACGGTTATAAGTTAACCTTCTCAGCACAGGCTAGTCATAATGACTGTTAGATCTTTGCAATTTTTATGTATACCAAGATAATTGTGGATTTTATTGTACACCTTTGTATTTTCTTTAAGTGTATGGTTTAATAATTTATTTCTAAATGTAAGAAGAGAGTAATGTTTTAAGTGGTTCTGAAATTGTTTAATCATCAGTTTTTCAATAGTTCTAAAAACAAATCAGGGGGATTTCATTGCATCACAGACCGCTCCAACATACAGTATAAGCCAAATTACTGATTTGTGAATTCATTTGTATCTAACCTTAAAATTGTGATCTGAAATATAAACTCTTCTAGTTTATTCATCACCTCAATATGGAATTGATAAAACAATCTATAAATTCTTTTTATAGAATAAATGACTTTGACTTTGAATAATCTACATATATTTGAGTGTTTTCTTGTTTTACTGTATGTACCACCATTTTTATTTAAAAACACCAAAGTTAATTACAGAACCTGTGGTACCACAGTGTGATTTACTGTAATTTGAATCTTTAAGTTTTCTGAGAATCCAAAATACAATGTTAGCCGTTTTTTTTTTAAAAAAAAAGACTTCTGTTGTCTAAACATTTTTGTTCGTTTCTTTTTTAAGTAGGTTCTCCTGTTTTTGTGCAATATTGGTAACAAAGAGTGTTATATGAAATATTTTAATAATATTATTAAATGCTGAATTGATTGATATTTAAGCTGTACGTTTTGTGGTTGGACTGAACATTGTCTACTCTGCTCCATTTAATGTCATTAATGCGGATTAACGTGTCGTCATTCAAACCGAAATCTTCATACATCTTGATCCCTCTCGCCATTTTTAGAATACAAATTCATTATTCATTATTAACAGGTCCCCAAAATGAGAAATCCAGACATTTTCAGGAGGTAAAAAGATTTAATGAAGTATCAAAGTCCTAACGTTGGGTGTTTGTCACTACAATCAGAGCTTCCCAGGTGCGTCCATCTATCCAAGAAGATACGGGACGATGGAAATTGCGCTTGTATTACAAGAAATAACGTAGCCGTGATTTAACCCGGAAGTAGACATGATTGACCTCCCACTGGCTCGTCGCTCTAGCAACAACGGTGTACAACAGCATGGAATTTGGTGTTCTGATTGGCAGTTTTGTTGTTATTCTTCTTTTTGTACAGTAGTTTTCTATCTTCAGAAGCTTGTTGTATTGACTTTTTAAAAATGGATGAAATTCCACGGGTAAGTGGTTTGAAATAAAATCGATCGAATATGAATGTTGAAAAAGGTGTAGTTGCAAAAGTTTAACGAGAAGCCACCTCACTTTTGTTGATTAAGATGGGTGATTATTTAAAATGTCTTTCGTGTTCATAGATTGTATTTTCAGTCTTGAAGGCCGAAAATTTTGTAAAAGTAATACTGGCTGAACCGTTTGTATTTAGTTTAGCCAGTATATACACACTAATGTCGATTAAAGTAAAATATATATTTTAAGCAATGAAGTGTCATTCTTTAATTAGAAAAAAAACATTCCCTTTAGTTTCAAATACTAGTACCAGTCGTTTTCATTAAGTATACATATTTCACGATATTATATACAGGAAGAGTTTCAAAAATGTTTGGTGCCCTAATATTTTTAAAGCTGGTTTGAAATCTATCTTCTATCCTTTTAACGGTATTGTCCATCTCGGCAGTAATAGCTGTTTTTGCATTAACTAGTACTCGCCTTGAATGAACACGGCGACAACAAGAACTTGCACTGTTGTCCTTTAAAGAAATGAAAATTTGTATAATAACTATGACGTTTATTTCAGTATTCTCTGTAATATGTAATAGCCCATACACGAACGCACACCATGAATGCGACATTCAAGATAAGTGAAATATTTATTGGGTTTAAAATATCAAAGCAAATGTGAACAAACATATAAATGCAGATTTGTCTAAGATGGTATCCAGAAAAATGTCTTTGCTCTTTGCCTGTTATTCCTTCCTTGTGAGCCCTGCTTTGCACTACAGTCCCAGCTACACAGCTGCTGGCTTTGATCCAGCCCGGATCTTGATCCTTAAGTAAACTAATAAGTCGTTTGTTTGGACTGAACTCTACAACACTGTAACGGTTGTTGCGTCCTCTGTACGTTTTGTTAGGAAGGATAAGGATTTGTTTTACCTGGATTTAAATCTGGCTTCCAAAAGAAGGATACATCGCACAAGGAGACGACTCCCTTACAAGGCCGGTGTTAGATTTGCTCCTGTATGTTGCCAGCAGAGGGCGCTGTCGCCACAACCACCTGGTACATTTCTTTCAACCAAAATGTGGTCATATGCTAGCACGCCTGTCTGCACTTATCTGTGCAGTTCTTGGATCGTTTCTTTTTCAGGAAGGGATTTTTACTTTCCATCTAGTAAACGCATGTAAGCCCTTAAGAGTGATTACCAATGAGAGGAGTTTATTTGGCCCTTCTTCATATCCCCAGGGATACTTTTGACAGCGTGGCTGGTTAGTATTTGGCAGACTCCTACAACTCTTTGTGTAAAGATGTGCATCCCTGATTTCCACCCTAGCTTTACTGTTGATCCTGAGGCAGTTCTCTCTGAAGAAAAATGCTGTGCTCATTTAGTCTGTGTGAGCATTACACTGTGAAGTATACATTTTGGAGGATTTTAAGTCCCTGGTCTAGGGACTGATTAAACCCTACAGCTTTATTTTGTTTCAAAAAGGGGAAAGCAAGCTAGAGCCCAGATAGTGGAGGTCTGCAATTTAAAGGTGCCCTCTAATCAAAGGCTTTATGCCATGAACTCAGAATGGGATCCTGTGAGAGAGATTTGTAGCAGTATTGTTTTTTCAGGTCTTTTTTGGGTTCACTTATGGCCCTGGGGTCCTGTCTGTGTGGAGTTTGTATGTTCTCCCTGTGCTCTCGCAGGTTTCCTCTGACTGCTCCAGTTTTGTCCCACAATCCAAAGACATGGTGGTAGGTTAACTGACTTTTGAAAATTGGCCCTTATGTGAATGGTGAGTTTGCACATGTTCGTATTTGTCTGTGTGTGTCCTGCAATGGACTGGTGTCCCATCCAGGATGTAGCCTGCCTTGTGCCTGTTGCTTACCAAGATAGACTGCTGCTCCCCTACAACCCTGAAGTGAATGAAGTAGTTAGAGGATGGGTGGATATTGACCCTAGTGAGCTTAGTTTTTTTTTTTATCTGATTATTTCTTTAAAGTATTTTTTTCCTTTTTAGTTTTAAAGGAAAAACATGAGGCCTTTGAATGTTATTTTTCAAACTAAAGCAGGGACGCTAGCTGAAGATCGTCTCCGCACCTACCAAGGTCAAGTGCTAGCATACAAAATTTGCAGAATAATTCAGAAAACAATGTGAAAAGAGAAGATGGAAAAAACAGGAAAATGCCAGTTAAATATAAGATTGCTATTAGTTTTACACAATATCCTTATTCAAGCTTTTAACCACACTGGATTTATTAAATGAATAATTTTCCAGATTGAAGAATTTGTCTCTGTGCTTTTACGCTGTGACAATCAATTCTAATGAAATGATTATATCACATTCTAAGTAATGGCACAAACTAGCTAGGAGGCAGATGCTTAAAAGCAAAACAGCAGGAGGGGCCTCTTTCACATTAAATACAAGTAATTAATGAAAGGATGGACACCACCAAGCTCAGTAAATGGTGTGGAATGGAGCGAACCTTACAAAGACTGTAAAACCTGTTCTTAACACAGAATAGCCAATCGAATTCAGGATTTAAAAGTAATTTTATAATGGAGTGATTTCCTTTAGAATCTTGTTTAATGACCGCATGTGTGCTTTTGCCAATAATACTGCCTGATGCGATGGAGGAGCTGGTGAACTCTTTTAACACCTGTTGGCTGTTGTCCAGCTTATTTCCTCTTGCTTTCCCTTTCTTATTCATTACTGTTTAAATTTAACTGAAGAAAAAACAATACAGGTCAGCAGTTCTGTAAGTCCCTCTGAGAAAATCAGTGCGCTGATGTGCATTTTGATATAAATTCACTTTTTTATATAAAATGCGTCCTCGGACAATTTTCTTTTTAAGAAGTATACAAAAGCAGTTATAAACCATACCTCTCAATGTCGATGTAGAACCCCAAATATGTTGTATCTCTGTGCTGACTAGGCTATCTGTTTGAATAGTTTGTAAAATGGGGAAGTTAAGCCTTATCTACTGTGAAATACCATCTTTTGCAAACTGCTAGACCGCTTACAGAGTAACTTGGACATCCGCTGCAAATATACAGCTTTCTTAGAAAAATTAGAAAATCAAATAGCTGTTTTATGCTAGAAAGGTGACTGCTATTGCATAACTGTGAAGAGTTGGTTACCCCTAATGTTTTTGTACACCACTTGTTTGGCTTCTGACCTTTATCAATAACAAATATGTTCCCGTTTTTCCTCACAAACGTTTGCTGCTCGTAAAGATAACCAGCCTTTTAATCTGAGGTTCACTACACATGGATGTAAGTAAAATGTGCTTCAGCCTTTTAAAACTTAAAACCTGCTATGATGTGTTAATATTTTTAAATTAAATGTCGCCAACCCAGACTCAAATTGCGTTTCTCTCCCACTAACTGTAATGATTACACGACAGTTTTGATTGTAGAATAATCCAGAAAATAATCAGCTGATTATTCAGTAGTTTATCTCTTCACTCAGGCAAGCTCCCCTTTGAAGCAGGCATCAAAGTTGGCTTAAAACAACACATTTCAAAAGGTGAGCATTTAAATGGTTGTTTAGCCCAAAAGTAACAAGCATTGAAAATGCATGCATGCATAATTTTCACTTTCAGGAGGTGAAATTGTTCTTTGCTCACTAAATTAAATACAGCATTACCACCATCTTGGTCTCATCTAACCTCACAGACACAGACACTCAGACCCAGAACCAATTTTCCCAGATTCTGTTTAATCTACCAGTAGGCTTTTGGACTGAGGGAGAAAACTGGAGCTCCGGGGGGAAACCCACATGAACATGGGATCACATATAAACCCCATTCAGAAAGCACCCCAGGAATTGCAGGGAGGCAGTGCTACGAGGCAGAAGTGCTACCCACTGAAGTGCCATTTCAGGCAACCAGAAATCAAAATATCCAGTGCCATCTCCAAAAAGTCTTTGAACATGAGACATTTTAGAATTGTATTTTTGTCTCGGTGCAATTCAAACTTTTGAAGTTGCTCCCACATATCTTCCTATGCGGAAGCTTGCACAAGTATTTTAAGACTGAAAAAGTTCTATTTAATCCTACCAGTACTCCCTCTTCCATATTAAAAAAAAAAAACGCTTGCAGATTCTATGTAGTGGGAAGATGGTAGACAATCAGAGCAATGCAAAACCTTTGGGTTTAGCTGTACTTTATCCTTCCTTATTTTTTGTTAGTAAGCTCTTTTCATCATATGCTTACCCCTGATAAGCTAACTTTTTATAATGCTAAACAGTGATTTTTGTTTTTGCATAAGATTTGATCATTTTAGTTTTGGAATTTCTGCATTTTATTTTTCATGGCTAGTAACTCTTTCTTTTGGTTTCTGAAATTACCCTATATGTCATAACCTTGCTGTTCTTGTACTGGATAAAATGCATAATATTTCCTTAGGAGATAGTCCTTTCCATGGCAGACATAGAATAAATGAAATTGACATTCTCACAATCTCGCTATTTACATGAAATTTATCATTTGCAAAAATAATATGGTTCATACAGAAAGCTAACAAAATGAAAGATAAGGCCGTCGCTGGTTGGAAAAAAAACACCAGTGCAGTGCTAAGCAAAATGTAACGGCATGCAGACACTGTAGGCATTATACAAAGTAGGCAGCCTGTAGTATCTGTAGCGAACACTGCAAGCTTGAGAGTGAAGGACACAGAAAAGAAGGAATTTTTCCCATCTTTATATAGCTCCTTTTTGAGGCATTTGATTTAGCTGTTATTCCCCAGTGTGCGGGCCCCTATGTTACCCCTAACCCTGAGATTAGGTGTAACTTCAGTTTTTGTAATGGCTAGGATCTTGCAAAGATGTTGCGATTTCCAGGACCTGTTCCCAAAATGTAGATTCTGTTCAGATTGTTATTCCTCAAGTCCTGCTAGTTCTTTTGTCATTGGCCTTTCCTTACGTGTAGACGTGCACACCCTAAATCCCAGTGATTTATGCCTTGATAATCCCCTCTCCAGCAGATGTACTTTTGCACAGATTTAGAATAGGATTAGCAGGACGCAGCAACGAAGCAACCCAGCCTGCAGTAATAGGCATTCCCTGGGCGCGTTCTGACTCTTGACACAATGGGGAGAAAACAAGGGGTAAGTCCAGCCTGTTCCTCTCTTAAAATCTACCCAGCCTCGAGGTCCACACTGCAGCAACAGAGACGAGGACCCTTCCAGGGAGAAATGAGCGCAAGTTGTATTCATTCTGTGGGATTTGCAAGGCAGTAGACCTTATCGGTTACATTAATTAAAACTGCAGCATGCAGTGCTCCATTGCAAGTTGTTAACATATTATTTTGAAACCGAGCTCTGTTCATGAGTCAGACATCATTAGAAATCCAATTAGGCTACCGCTCTGTCTGTAAAGGACCTATTCTATTTAATATTATGATTAGTTTTTTCCCCAGCTGCTTTGCAGTGTCTTTTTTTTTTTAAATTGTAAAGGACTAAACATCAATCATGTAATAAACCTTATTATTCAGCTTATTAAGTACTGCAGTAGCATTTCTAATGACTGTATTTTCTGTATAAAATTAGGATCCATGTTTCGCCATCTGTACGTTTTGATGACATTATTTTTGTTCATTGATAATTGCACATTTATCAGTGGCTGTTTAAGTAAAAAAGCTCTTTTAAAATGCTCCACACTGCTGACAGCTGAGAATCTTGCAGGAAAAAAAAACCTCATGAACTTTATTAACGGGGATATTTGAAACCTGGTTTGTATTTTTGGTTAATACAGAACTTTTGAACCAGCAGAATTTACTTAAGGCATTGAAGATGGAGATGACTGTGTATAGATGTGTATTGAGCTTCACACATGGACACAAAATATGTGGTGCTATAACTGCCAAGTTTTATTGTGTTTTGTCATGGTCTGTTGTGCAATGAAATACTTGGTAGGTACTTGTGTATGTTTTATCTAATTGCTCTTAGAACAGCATATGACATTTTTTAATAAAGTGTATTTTGCTGAAGGCCTTCATAAACGGGAACACTGACTTTGTGTTTTTTGTCTCAGTAAAATACTTGGTTTCTAATGGTTATGCAGCCTACTTTCCTAGAAAGTTAAAACCGATAAAAACAGTCAATAGTCATAGCAATTGCTTTGATTCTGAAAGTCTTTGTTTTTCTAAAGGTAAGTTTACAGTTGTAGTTGCTGTGTAAGGCAATCACTGATTACACTAGCTTGAAATAATGACACAGTGAGGAGTACACCTGTCTCTCAAGATGCATGTTCCGGCCTTTCTTCTTTGCACTCAGACCTTGTGCAGTTTGCTGAAATTTCTTGTCCAGTTTTTCATGCACTTAGCAGGATCTTCAACCCTTGTCCTGCGCAGCCTCTGTTATTTAGGTCATGAGTAAGAAGAGGTTAATTGGGTGACAAAGGAGTGAGGTGTCAATTTGTAATGCAAAAGATGCATAACCTTCCCAGAAAATATTTGTGAAGATTATAAAGTGTGTATTGTATCTATATGTTTGGGTTGTGTTTATTAACATTGATAATGTTTTGTAGAACTCGCTTGCACTTAGTGGTTTGCCATGTAAGGAGATTTGTTTAATTTGTTTGTTTGTTTTTCAGCGAGCTCCCCGTGCCCTACCTCCACTGCCAAGGTAAGTCTTGTTTACTGGTATTTTTAAGATCCCTTTACAACATAGACAGCTTTTACAAAACAGTAGGCCTTGTCGGACTTGAAAACAGAATGTTGTTGTGCAAGAAATACAAGCATCAACTAATGGGTTGTGTTATTGCCATCTGTTTTAGTTCTAAGTGACAAACACCCAGTTGTAGCACTGTATTAAGGGAAGAGCTTGGTATTCTTTCATCAACAAATCTGATTAAAAAAACGTTAAATAAAATTCCTTAAAGCAAATTTTAAGGAAGCTAGTAACCAATCAAGGCCCAGTTTAACTTGCTGTTAGTCTGTTATAAATCCAGTGTTGAGTTTCCTAATATGAGAATAGTTGTCTGTTTATATAAATCTTAAAACTGTCACTGCATTGACACATCTTAGTTACCATTTGCTGGGACTTGGAATAGATGTTGATGCGTTAACAAAAAAGTATGTTGCTTTATCAGTTCATGAATAACCTTGGTTCAGATACAGGGTGCCAGTTCATATACGCAGATATGTAAGTGATTTAATGAATAATGTGAAATCCTTTAGTGTATAAAGTGACGTCAGAAGGTCACAGATTATTGTCTCTGTGCAATTCAGAGAATTGGCCCTGTGAGCATTTTACTTCTTTTTAATAGTGTAAGGATTTTCGGGGACAGCTTAATGATGGGGGCTACTTAATGATGATTATGATGATGATCTTGAGTCAGTGGCTCCTAAGCCCCGCCCTCGGACCACTGTGTTTGTTGGTTTTCATTCCAGCTGAACTTCATTCCAGCAGCACCCTGGAATGCGGGGGGCTCTTAAGCTCAAAACGTGCTAAAGGTTTAATACCAATTAGAAATCCCATTTGACCTTTTAAGAGCTGAAAGCAAATGAAAGAATATGCCTCGAACAGCTGCAAGCTGTCTCACAGACAGTTGAAGCCTGTGATGAAAGATTTGGCCAGAGCAGGAGTCAGAAAGCACAGTGGTTCCCCAGTGTCAGAGCTGGGAACCCCCAGCCTAGATCATTACTGTAGTATTAGTGCACAATTTCCATTATTTCATTTGCAAAACCTCTTAACAAACGGTGAAAATTGATGTGCATGCAGTTTATTGAGAGTTTTTTTTTAAATTGTAGCATACTGTGCTTGCTTTCACAAATCGCATTTAAGCCTGTAAAACACCCTTCTAGTTGTAGAATACTAATACTACCAACCACTTGTTCTGTTGTGTGCAAGCTAAGAATTACAAAAAGTGCTTGCACTTCAAAAAAAGGATTAAAAGATTTATGTTTTCGTGACTGGAATGTGCTTTCTTGATATTGCTCATTCCTAATAATGATAGAATACTGCTGTCATGTCACTGTAGTGTGTAATACAAGGTAAAGCGTTCCTTGTGGCCAAAGAAATATGCTGTGATTGTAGTTTGCTTTCTCTGCACAGTCCTAGCAAGAAACTTTGAAAGGCCTTTGCTGAGCACAAAGCTAATCGAAACTGGAATACAAAAGAAAATACCAGAGGAAAGATGGTGATTTATTTTAATTGATTTAAGTTGTGAGGAAAATGATTGAAAAGCCTTTATGGTATCCATATCTCTATCCATTTCATGGATCTCGACATTATAATTGCTCTATCCTAAAGTCAACTTGACTGCTTTGCAGTGAACACTGCTATTATGGTCATCATGCTGTAATTTAAGATGTCTTAGAGTAGTGTAATCCTCATCAAACATGGGATTTCTATTTAAGTGATCAGAATGAGATAGCCAAATGCAAAAATAGTCTAAACACCTGGCAATGTAATCCACCTCACATCTTAGAATTACATTTAAGAGTTGTATTTGTTCATCAGAAGACCAAAGGCTGCTGCAATTATACATACTCAACACTGCAAATCTGCATGCGTCTATGTAATCGATGATAACATTGCACAAAATGTAAACATAAATCGTTCTTATCACAATTAATACTTTATTACTGTTCTGATAATCTATTACAAATTACCTAGAATTTACGAATGTAATTCCTAATCTAAAGTATTAAGAATTATTCTTGACTTTTCTCCACAGCAAAAATAATTTTCCATTTATAGAACTGGGGGCCTAATGTATTAAGTCTGGTACTTGTGGGTTTTAGTATTACATTGTATTTTAAAAATGTATTTAGTTGCAAGATTATATTTTTGTGCTCATTTGCATTTTAATTACACGGTTCAGAGCATTTGAAGGATCAAGATTATATTTTTGTACAAATTTACATTTAATTATACAGTTCAGAGCATTGCAAGCAAAGAGACACCCCAACTTGTGACGAAAGCTCCCAGAAGCATTTCAGATCGCTGAGGTGACACTTAGGTATGAATTTGCCATGTGTCACATTTGCTTTACAGCTCCCAAATAGCTACTGTACAATTGTGACGCACCTCACAGGCTGAAAATTAAACATAGGCTATCTGTGGTTATTTCAACACAAGGGAATGGTTAAATTTAACCTTTTTAGTGTGAAAGTGAGCACTGTTCCACAGTTTGCCTTAAAAAATTAAAGACTTTACGAGTTTTCTCTCATGGCTCTCTTTAGATATATGAGATATGGAAGAAATGCATGAATAAGGTTGGGGCTAGAAATAGTTTTTGAGCGACCTGGAAATTGTTAGTTTAAAAGCTTGTTATAAATTGGAAACTGATCCAAGTGATGTAGAATATTAGTGTTGCTGCTGTCGGAGGTGGTACCAGTTCTCTTTCATACTTGATGACCACACTTATGAACTTGATGAAAAAGGTGTGCTACACTGTCTGAAGACATGCTTGTTAGCCTGCTAAAGCACGTCTTAATTAACATTAATAGCATTAATACCATTTTTTTTTTGAAGTGCTGCATTTAAAATTAGAATGAGATCTAGGTTTTCTTTTCACCGTTTCTTGCGGAAAAGCAAGAAGGTGTTCATTCAAAAGGCAATTTATGAGTTGAGTCAACTTGAAGAAACAGTGGAGCAGAATTGTTGCCGTATTCTGAGATGAATTTGCGGCAGTACTTGTCAAACATGTGCAACAACTAAAGCTATAGCTTTGGAATATGAATTTTGGCTTGAGTTTCTAACTCCACATTTGTTTGTTTTTTTTCTTTCTCATCTGCTTACTGATGATTATTAAAGCCAAGAGGCAGGAGGTAAGACTTTCTTTTATGCGGATCCCTAATTGGCAAGCTTCCTTGTAAAAGTATTGGACAGGCATTCAAATCAGCCTAAAGGCAGACACTCACGCACTGGTGCTAACGTATTCAAGAGGAATGTCTGGCAATATATGAAGGTGGGAATTATAATGAATGATATCTCTGTAACCTGGGGCTGCTTAGGTTCATCTAATGACAATGTATTGGCAGTCATCAACAATCTCAGTTCTATTTCTGTCAGTGAGTTAAGATGGCTCCTGGGTACAGATTCCATCCAAAACCAATATTTTTTTAGATTCTTACAGACTTAAACAAACTAACATACAAGCTTAATTTATTTTTTTTTACAGTGTACTGCAGCTGGCTTCCTTTCTTTAAGCACGAAAATTATTTTGCATCTGTAGTCTTGTCCTTCTTTAGAAACAAGTCTAGAGTATTTTTATGTTGTTGTGTACTTCAAGGATAGAATAGTGGATTGCCAGTTAGCACCTGCCACCTTGAAGCTCTTGAGTTTGGTCCCTGAGTTTGACTCTCGGACACCTTCTGTGGGGAGTCTGCATGTTCTTGTGTGCACAATGTTTTAAGTGGTGGCTCTAGATCATCCCTGTAAGTGTCTGTCAATGTCCTGAGAAGGACTAGCACCCCTTCAAGGGCGTAGTCTCACCATACTTTCTCCACTTCCAGAATGCACTCCAGGTTGACACAAAATTTAAGAGGGGCTGTTTTCTGATCACGAACCAGTGGATGCATGTTTTTTTCACTGGTAGTTTTTATCCGCAGACCAGGATGCTGCTGTACGACTACCTTCAGGTCTTCAAAATGCGAGTAAAAACTCTGAAACCTTTCATAAGTGCAGTGGTGCTCTACTCCAGTCCTGCACAAGGCTGTAGTCCAGTAAGTCTTATAGGTCCTTCCATCAGTCAGTACCACCTGAAGAGCTGGGAAAAGCTGTTAAAGTTTTCCAGTTAATCGCATGAAAATGAAAATGAAAACTAGAATGAAAACCCACAGAGAGAGCAAACCACCAGAACTGGAGTCTGATACTCCGTTTTTAAAATAAATTCCATTCTTGTTTGCAAAATATGTTTTATCTTTCACCCCTTTTTTGATGCAGATGAGCTGCCTCTAAGCAGACCTAAAAAGAAGAGGTCTAAAGCAGCCAATGGAGTAGAAAACCCAGATGGTATGTCAAAAAACATTTTTTGTTGAAAGCATTTAAAAAAAATGTTTTACCATCTGACTGAAGCTTTAAATAATGAATACGGAAGTAGTGAATAGAGATATAGGCTCATCGATATTTGCCATTTAAAATGTTCTAGGTGCAGATGCAATGTATTCAAGTCAAGATTGACTTCTGTATCAGTTTATGGATAATAAAGTATTTTCCAGAATTAAAGTGCATTGAACACAAACGTAACTCAAATCCATAAGTAATATTCCCTTTACATGCTTCATGAAAGATGTCATTAAATTTGGTACTTGGTATAGCAAGTATTGTTTAACACTTAAATTAACGGGTTTTTTTACCCCCTCATATATATATAATGTTCCACAGTGTGTATAGTTTATTTCTTTCCAGCTTTGAACACTGGAGTCGTATACAGGATCATCTTTTTATTAATGTTAAAGAGTACATGTTACATTACGAAGTTTCCATGAGATTCTGATTTAGTTAGAATGACCTGAAACACATTTAAAATATAGGAATAAATGTAACTTCCTTTAAACTTTGTTACAACATGTTTTCTAATTGAAGAGCCAATGAGACTGTTATTTCTAAGAGAAACAGATTATGTAGAGATGAATCCTAAAGAAGCCGTTTACTAGGATGCCAGTCATTTGGTAACATTGTTTGAACTGCAAAGAAGTTGACACGGACAAAGTTCAGCGTTTAAAGGTTTTGAATATATGTTGTGATTCAAAACTAAACGGCTTTTCCTTAGAAAACTAAACAGCTGTTTCCCTTAGCTGTCAGTGTGCAGGTTCTAACACTGACCGTATAAAGGCTGCTATTTATGCTACAGGCATGAAAACCACTGGAAAAAACGGCCTACGGATTTAGGTGGAAGAGAAAGGCAAGACCAGTGCGCATGACTCACTGCACATGGGGTGAAAGTAATTGGGCGTCAACCATTCTGATAATTCGTAGAGTCCACAGCGCAACCTGAGAGTCGGAGACAGTCGGAGAGCAGAGAGCCCTTGAGCCCAGATCCTCAGGATGTGCCCCCTACGAGGAAGAGGAAGAAGAAGAAGGTGCAGACACCAGGTAGGGAGCCTGTTTTAGCCCAGTAGTTACCAAAGTTCTTTTTCCTTGATTAGGTCTGTTTCCTAGCTTCTACACCAATATATTTTCAGCGTACTAAATCTGTGGTTTTGCTGTAGGGGTCCAGTACACTTTTCTCCATGATCCTGTATTTGTTACAGTCACATCTTTCCATGTTCTTTTGACTAAATTTACCTATTGCAGTTTTGATGCTCTTATCACATATGGTTATATTCATTCACAGTAAATAATTCAGTTTGAGAAAAGAAAAATCGTATTAAACTAGTGCCTAAATTGGGACCACATCATGGTGGCTTTAATATGGGAAAGGACTTATTTAAGGAAAGTTTCCTTTCACCTTTTCAGTGTGTGAACTCCCATAGTTCTGTATGTTTTTTATTTGTCAAAATTCATCATTTGTTACAATATGTAGCAAAATGGGGGTTGATAAACTATCCAGAAATGCCATGCAGAGATCTTTATGAAGTCAGGTTTCATTATTTCAAACTATTCTACCTTGAAACGAAACACTGTGCAATGCCACACAGCCTCGAGAGATTAATTAAATTCATGATTAGAAACATTTAGCTTGCTTTGATTTTCCACAACAGCAGATTTTTTTTCAGACTAAGCAGGGAATTTTCTAAATCCCATCAGCACAATTAAATATAAATGTAGGAACAGTTCCAAATGAGAAGAAACCAGTTTCACCATTTTGCTTATTTAGAAGGTGGCTGTTTGATTGCACTAATATATATACAGTTAGAACCTGCTCCGCTGTAGCTTCCTGAAGCTAATTGCAGCACTGTGGATGAACAGATGGTCTAGTTTCTATCACAATATGCCCATTTTGCTTATTTGTCGGTTAACAGCTAATTGGTCAGAATTGTTTTTTGTTTAAAGACTCCAGGAAGTCTGCTAAACCACTACATTTTATATCCTAAAAGCTGATCCTCTTAGTTCCTCAGATATCCTCAGCTGCTTATTTCAGTGTAAGGCTACAAAAAAGGCTTACAGATGAGTGGAGGATGTGCCCTTAATGAGCCCTTCTCTGAATTCTGCATCAGAGCTGACTTCACTGAAAAGAATTACCCCCAATTCTTTGCAGAATGGTGGCGTTTCATGTTCTATCCGATCAAAGCAGAGAGAAGTTGCCATGGGAATAAAATATTCAGGTGTTAATTAAATTTTACTGTTTAAGTTTTAAAACTCATTTCATGTGAAAACATAATTTCATTAAGCTTCTTTACATTCATACTGTATGTATTCTAGGTACAAAGTTTTGACATGAAGCTGCAGTGTATTTTGTATTGATTGGTACCGATCTTGCTCACTTTGTCCTGCCCTGGTTTTAAATACTGTATATAGTATAACCTAATCGCTTTACCATGATGGTGCCCTGCTAAACTGGGGGAAAAATGAGTTATTGTCGAATTTCTTGTTACAGAACTCCCTTTTTAATGTTTGATTTTGGAATGTGGATTATATTATTGAATTGCATGAATATTATGCATTGCTGTTGGTGGTTATAGCGAAACATGAGCAACCATTTTCGTGAGCATCAAAACATGGTTAAAGTACTGGTTATATTTCTACAGCTTTTTACCTTAAAACTTTTGTTTCCTAAAACCCCTTTTTCATGCAGCAGGAGCTTGGCTGCTTCCAGCTGGTGTTGTGTTTTGTCGTTTAGGAACAATGTCTGAAACATGTCAAAACTCGAGAGGAGATTGCCATTTTTTCAGTTGTCAGGAAAAGTTTATCTCATTTGTATGCTCTTGTAATTACAAGCCATAACAGCTGTCGTCTATGTTAATTTTCCCCGGTACCCAAGCTCAATGTCTTTGAACCAGATTTGTGCTTTTTATACGGAATTCTGGATTGATTCTTTTTCATCTTTAGCTTTGATTTATATGTGTAATAAGCGACGCCTCCTTATGAATATAGCCACGTACAGTATGGCTGTAATTAGAAATGATTGAAAGCAAGCCGGATTCTAATCTGGTAAATGTGGGAGGAAGGAAATGAACTCCCTCAGGGTTTTACTTTAGTTTTTCTCCCAGTTTTATAACAATTCTGTTCTGTCAGAAAAGTTCACAATTTTTTCTGTTCCTCAGTTTTTTCTTTCCTGTAATTTATTAAGCTTGACACAAGTGACTGCAAACTCCAGAAACTTGCACTGTCTGGCTGGTTCACGGTGGCTTGCCCACCCCTAATGGATTTTGTGCTGTATAAATCACTCTGTCTTTAGGATTTGTCATTCTCTCTACACTTTAAAGTAGTGTTGTCATCTTCATCATTTTTGTTTAGAAAGTATAAGTCATGCCACAGTCACATCTCAAGTCATGTGAAAAGCAACAAAGCATTTCGTTTTAGCCAGAATATGTCAGTAGTAAGAAAGAAAGATACATTTCAGAAATTTGTATTGGGAAGTGCTTTGGAGTTACGTAGCCGATTTTCAAAATTTCTGAGTTTTATGTTCACAGGACTTCTCAAAACAAGATTGTGTGTGTTCATGTTGTAAGAGCAACATTGGATCAAAATACTATGTAATAGGAGTCTTATCTGTTTTCTTACCTGGAACATCCAGATAATTTGTGAGAAATGTTTATATTATAGAAATATTATATTATTTTTATATTAAATTTCCAAGCAAAGCAAACCCATTATAAAATAAATGCAACATTGTAATACTTGCATAAGTATGTAAAATGTGGTGGTTGGTTTGTTTCGTATAATTCCATATATATGGTGCTTTTGCCTATATCTTTAAATATGCAAAGGGACCCATTTAATCTACCTGGGAACCACAGCACCAATATGAGAAACAGGAATAGCTCTACTGCACAGCGTGTTAGGTGGACAGAATGTTTTGCCAGTTTAATTAAGGGAAAACTTTAGGAAGGCCAAAATGGACTTTAGCCAGCATACTGAAGTTAATACAGTACCTCTAGATATACAAAGGCAAAAGAAACCGCTGATGTTGGTACAGGAGAGGTTCGGTTAATGGAATTCTGTCTCTTTCTTTTTACTGGAGCCTGTCTTGGTATCCTTTTTAACTTAAATAAAAATACAATTTAAAAAATCAGTAGCACACTCACACCGGTATCATATGTGTATAGAACTGATTTAATTCGCAAAAAAAAGAGAAAATTGTCATGTTGTTGGTTTCTTTTATTTGTATGAGAGAGGTTTAAGAAAAAAAAAGGTCCTGGTTTACCTGTCATTTTGTTGATTGCCATGGAGTTTTTAATGACCAATGCATCAGGACCCTGATTTCACTGGGTCCGGTACCTTCTGTCCTCGGTCTCCACAATGTCAGTCCACAGGGAAAAGTGACACTGGTCTCCCCCGCATGACTTCTGCAGCACTCTGCATCTCCCAGTAAATGAGAGACTGCCCCATCCCAGCCTCGCTCAGCTTGCAAGATGTGATGACATCAAGCCACCAGGTGGTGATGCTACAGCATGGTCATTCACTTCTCAAGAACATAGACTTCTTGTAGCTATGTCTCATAGATATGATATCCGGTATGCCTTTGGACTGTGGGAGGAAACCGGAGCACCTGGAGGGAATACACGTGAACATGGGGAGATCATACAAACTCCATGCAGATACTGGAGCATCCCAGGTCTGTAATTGATCCCTGGGCCCCAAACACTGCTCCACCATGCTATCCTATAACGTAGCAGTGACAATTGGATTATAGTATAGTAAAAGTAAAACAAAAGGAGGTGGAAAGCAAAAAATAATAATAATTTGGGACTGAAATTAAATTATATCTGCTCGAAACCAGGTTTCCGTTTCTTAGGAACTTTTCAGTGCACATAAAATGGACAAATCTAAGAACAGCTGCAGATCAAGCGACAGCCAAGGAATGGATCTGTCGCGTTCGATTAAGGAGAGAAGAAGGCAGAGGTGTCTCTCTAACAGGGAATGACAGCAGTGATAAAGAAGAGCGTAGTCATCAAGAGAGGCAGCTGTACCTGCAAATTTTAAAAGACAGGCTGAGAATGGTGTTGGCTGGACAGTTCTGTCAAGACGGACCACCATCAAATTGGAGTGGGAAAACACTCAACGGGTTTGTTTTTTCTGGGGTTTCTTCTCCGCACTGCCTAGCCTATTTTGTGTGTCATATTATAGTGTACACCTTCCTCAACTTGGGAAAAAAATCAATGTTATAAATGTCTTCAACTGATTTTAAGAGGACACACATTGACCATAATTTTCCAAACAAAAGCATAGTTGAATGTCCAAACCAGAATTTAACAGTTCCACCTCACCACAAGGAGAATGACCTCCTTTTGGTCCACCAATGGATCTCCAATATGAAGTATTTACATGGGCACTTGAAACAATTAATAGACAGTTGCTATTTGTTTCCCTTAAATGTTTCACCGTACTGGCATGACGCACTCTGTACATATTGCCTTAAGCTTATTTTTCCACAGAGATGTTTGCTCTGGGTGATAGCCCAATAGAAGTAGAGTGTAATCTCTGATTTCAATATCTTCATCCTTTCTTTGGACCCCTGTAAACATTGAATAAAGTCAGTAACGAATGGAATAGATAAGGATTCATTCCATTGAGAAAAAAATAACTTTTTCTGGTAGTGTTTTGCGGGCCTTAATACTGCAAGCCCAAAGACCCTAGTGCACTGAGAATTGTAATATGATGTTGTGGATACATAAAAAAAATATCTAAAGCTCTTGACTGCTGCCTGAAAATTATTTTCAAATTATATCCTAATTTCTGAGAGGATAAAGGAGATGTTGGTTAGAAAAGCCTGTTGTTGATAAGGATAATATACCGTAACTGAAACAAATGTCCAAAATGGTACAAACTCAAACACACCCTTATTTGGTAGCTTGACATATACTGATACAGAAGGTAAAACAGGTATTCATTCCACAGGCGTAGAAACCCTGTGAAGAAATTCGGCTATGCCACTGTTTTGGTAGGATTTTAAACACAAACCTCTAGTGTGCATAACACGTAATCAGTGCATTCCCAATTGTCCTGTTGTTTTGTAGCTACATGCTAATATCAAGGGAAAGATGCACCAGTGAAAATGCTTACTGGTACAGTATAACTGTAACTGGAATCAACATTTAATGGTTCTTGTAACCCAGTCCCTATAATGGGCTGAAACATATGCTCATTTCAATACCATTTTTCCTGCACTTTTGAACTGATTGAAAATTTGCCTAAAGAAGACGCATTATTGAAGAAGATACATTTCCAAGAGCTTTTTTCAGTGGTTTTGATTGTTTTAGACACATTTTATGACATCACATTTTCAAATCTGATGACTGGAAGGTTTCAGAGACAGATTTCAGGATTGCTTTGTTGAAACCCCAGCTAGGGTTAGGGTTAGCATTCTTGCACTACTTAGACATTTTTTATGCTCAGAGGTGGATTTTGGGTCCCAAGGGGACATTAGGATGACTGATAATTTGCTCCTATCTGCAATTTTTTTTTTCAGAGACACTTGGCTGCTTATACTGTATAATGCACCTTTCTGTACTTAAAAACCAAGTCAAAGGAAGTTTTAAGAAAAACTGTTCTATTGGGTACACTCTCTTAATTTTGTCATTTAACGTGCAACTAGATGTATAACTGAAGTCTGAAGTCAACAGTTAATGGGTTCTTGTAACCCAAACCCTACAGTGGCCTGAAATGCACGCTCATTTCAATACCATTTTTAAAATGTTTTTCTGCTTTTCTAATTTAACGTGCAACTAGGTGTACTGTATGTACAGCTTAAGAATAGCTACAGTATGCCTACCTTGCTTTAACAATTTTGTTATTGCAATGCAGGCATACTGTAGATTAGAAACTACAGATGAGACTAAAATAGATCCAGTTCAAGTGCAGTTAATCCTTCATATAAATGACTTTTAGACAGTTAAAGCTACCAGTATCATGAATGTTTCTTATAATCCCACAATATAATAAGTGCTGTGTCAATTTTTTTTGGTGGCTGAAGTGGTGCACAAACGTACACCTGTATGGTATGTATACTGACCTGAAAAATGGGTGTGATTTCCAGACATACTGTATAATAAAATTCAGGTCTTGATTCCAGAGAGAGGCCTGGAGAGGCCAAATATCTAAGTGTAACTTGATTACTTTAGAAGACTCTGGTACTCAATGGCTGCAAGCTTTTGTGTCAGACTATCTTAATTATTTGATTAATCCTGAATTAAACAGATCACCTGCTTAGCTGATGCCATGTGGTCCAAGTCATGGGCCAAGCTCATGGTTACCTGCAAAACCTACTGAATTGAGGGCCTCCTCAACATGAGTTGGAGCCTCCAGGGTTAAATTAATGACAGAACAATGTATTTACAAAATTGATCAATAAAGAATGAACTACTACTCTGATATGAAAATGAACAAAACTTAAACTCTGAAATGTAAAAGGTAATGCAAACAATATGCTCTATATCTAGTTTAGCTTTTGCTTAGCCTCCAGTTTGCCCCTTTAATAATACCCTGTTGCAAGCATTAAAGATTTGTGCAGTAATCACAGAGGATCATGATTGACAGGAAAATAATTTCTCATTTGAAAATTGAAGGTTTAGAAGATTTTTGTTTTGCATTTAAAGGGGGTTAATTGATTTGATCCCTGTTAAATCATTATGGAAATACAAAACAGGGCCTAATTTAGCAAACCATTTTATTTGCATGGTTATTAAAACCGTGTTTTCTTTCTTTCCTGCACTATTTTCTACTCAGTCTAATTAATCTTTTTTGTCGTAACTTGCTTCTTAATTTGACCTTTCTGGTTAACCTGGTCATTCTGGATGTCTGTTCATCCTCTTTACTGTGGCATTTGTTCTGTATAAAAGCATAAAAGGCAATTAATGCCTTGTGCCACTGTAATGAGTCTTTGCATTTTAGTTGGCTTCTGTCTGTCTATTGGTTTTTCTCCACAGATACACCACTGTGGAAATTTGCCTTTCAGCTCTTCCTTCCCATGTAAATCAAATAAACTTTTACTTCCCATCTCTTCCATCATTTTCACTTATGTGCTATAGTAATAAGAATTCACTGTACTAATTAAAGAAAAGATCTTTGGCACCAAGTGCTCTATCCTGGTAGAAAAGCTCTGGACATTTCCTGTCTGACGTATTTCCTGGTCTCAAGGGAATTGCTTTTGTGTTAAAAAAAAAGATAATTGTGCATTCATGAAAAGATAAAATTCTTATCTGCGATAATTTTGTCATTGAAACAAAAATGTTGGGATTGGGTAGGCTTGACAGGGGTGCAAGAATGGGGTGCAAGGATTTTGTGGGTACTTTTTAAAAGTACGATGATTCGAGTCTCCCTCCTCCACAAGCCTTATGGCAGATTTACCTCTGCACCTAGTACTCTATTCTAGCAAAGACTGGAAGGAATAGGTAGAGGAAACTGAATATATTACTTATGCCATCCTTTTTCATTGTTTCTAGTTGGCAGTTTTGATTGACAGCCCAGTGCTTGGCTGTCCACAGGCTTCATGCTACCTCCTTATCGCTACTGCACACAAGACAATAATTACACCCCGGGTAGCTGTAGCTCTTCAAATAGTTTTGTTTATGTTAAGTACAGCCTATGATCCCTCATTAAGTGGATTTCTTCCCCAACATCAGCAGTTTAAAATGCTCCCTAAGAAATGAATAAATTGTTACAGTAATTAACAACGTAATCCATCATTCCAGGAACCTTGTGGAAAGAGGATAAATGCAATCACTTCTCATTTCACTTTCTTGGAAAAGTGGATTTGCATAATCTCCAAACTTAATAACATTGCTGTGAGCATAAGCGAGGTACAACTCGTTGAATTCAAATGAAGCACGTGCCTCTAAATTGTATTAGCAGATTTGAGGATTTTTAATTCCTCTTTAATATATTAAATTCTGACTCGTTTTTTGCCGGTTCAGCCCATGCACACACACCCCACCTTTCCATTGACAAAGGTAGACATGTGCCAAGCTGTAACGACGTTAACATTACTGCCGAGATAGCTGTGTCAATCTTTGCAGGAGCCCTGTTAGTAACATAGGGCATTGTGGGGTGAACCTAGGTGTGCTGGCCGCCATGCAAGTTGTTCATTAAAAATGCCGATCAAAAACGAGAATCGCCGTGGCAGATGTTGACCATGATCGCGTCTTGCCCTTTTAGATTCCGAAACCTCATTCATGCAGCACAGCGCCTCCGATCCCTCGGAGCAGAAGGACCTGGCCGATGGAGAAGGAGCCGAGCAGGCCGATGGAGAGGAGGTGGCTCGCAAACCTCGGAAAAAAACCAAGTGAGCATGCAGAGCACGTTGAGCCGGACAACTTAGGCGTGCGGCGCTGGTCTTCTTGGGTCTCGGTGACTTTGAGTTATTTAACTTGTCGAAGTAACATTTGTGTCTGTTTTATATGTACCAATGACAAATCAAAGACTTGAAACGTGTCGGATGTCAGGGAGCTAGCTAGGATAATGCATTAGGTAACGTATCTGTATTAAGATGTGTTGAGTTACCATCACATGACCTTAAAAAAAATCTTATCCCATGCCCATGGACTCTGAAGTCTTAACATTAACATGACATTGGTCACAGTTTATTTGAATTTTGTTGCATAAAGGCTTTATAATCCCTTCATAATTGCTATGAATATCATGGCCTCTTATGGACATGTTATGCCATTTGCATGTCTCTATAAAGCATTATGCTTGTAATTACAACGTTTTGTGTAACAGTTATTAAGGGCTTATGAAACCATTATGCACCAATGTTCAAATAAAGCAGTACCATTTTTTTTAGTAATCTCTAAAAGTATTTTTTTGTGTGGACTTTATCTCCAAGTTACATGTGGAATCTAAAGTAAAGACTTGTCAAATCATTTAAGATGGAAGACAAATTTACATTAAAAACTGTTCCAAACTGGTTTGGATTGAATTTAGAATTTTGAAAATGAGATTCTGGATTGTTTTTGAGAAAGTTAGGATTAGGATTAAGCTATATTATTGCCTATGTTCTTTTAAAACCGTACCTTCTTGGCTAATTATAATTGATTTTACACCAAAGATCTAGGATGGCCATGTGAGATTTAATATTTGTAAATATTGGCTGTGCACATAAATCCCATAGTGGAGTGGTGGGTTTTGCTATCTTTTATGTAAATTCTGTATATGCCTGTGTCTAGGCTCATTATGAATAATTAACAATACCTTTCTGTATGACTGTTTTTCAGATTATGATACAATTGCATTTCACTGAACCAGTAACACTGATCTAATGAGATTTACTCAGAGCTCTAAAATGAATATTTGGCTATTTGAATTAGGATGATTACAACTAATGCAAGGACATGTAGTGCCAATTACCCATTCCATTCACTAATAGAACTGATGCTTCACAGCAAATTTGGTATTTGTGTGCCAGAATGACCATTTTGCAGGTGTAGCAAGTTGATGTGGAGATACTAGGACAGGAAATATGTTTCATTCAATAAAATACTGGACACTATCATTTTAACTGTCCATGTTATTAGTCCAGTAAATAGGTGACACTTCAATTGCTAAGCTCAAATGGGGTGAATATATCATATGAGAAATGCAGCTGATTGCTTTAAAAAGTATTCAGCAGGTCTCAAATTCAGATTTCCTTGATACAATCACATAGTCTTTGATTGTTTCAAATTTTCAAGAAAGAAATACATTCCTAGTCCTCCTATCTTTAAAGAACTGAACCTTTTTACCCCTGGATAGAGCAGACTATGAGGTGCCTGGTACTCTGGCTACTTTAAAGAAACATCTGCATAAAGATCCTAGGATCAAGTAGTTCCTAATCATCAAACAGGCTAGAAGGACCAAATGGCCTCCTCTCATTTGTACCCTTCTTATGTTCCTTAGGAAATCACGGACAGCTGATCTTCAGTACACCAATGAGCTGGGGGTGGAGGAAGACGACATCATCACAGACGTCCAACACCCCATTCCCCAGCATTCCCTGTTCTCCGCTCCTCTGGGCAACAGCCAACCCGTTGGCAAAGTGTTTGTGGAGCGAAACCGTGAGTTTAAACTTTGCTGTGATGGTGAATCCTGCACTTTCGGTGAAACGCTTGCACGGGGAATGTTGTGTTTGTTCCATTGTTGTGCTTCTGGTCTTCTAATGTAGTAGGAACAGGACAGTTCACCATGTTTAGGACTCTTGGATTATGGTTAGTGTAAAAAAAAGAAAAACGTCATGATTTCTCACCATTTGTAGATGGGATAGACTTAATCATAGATGAAAACAGTGGCTTTTTAAAGTTTTATATCATGTGATACACACATACATGCAGTATACCATCTGAAAAAAAGCACAAAGATTTAGCAATTTCAAGATGAATTCATGTCCGGACCTGTATTCACTGGCAGGATATGTCTGTCAAAAGTAGTTGCTATTCGATCAGTGCAAATTAAATTTCAAAAAGGTCCAATGAAATCTTGTGTTAAAATCAACTGTATAAAAAAATTGATGTATCATCTCAACACAGACTCAGTATTTTATTGATAAACTGAACAACATTGTGTTGTTTTTGCACTTTTTTTCATTTTGGTTTAATGTTTTTTAGTTTTCACTAGTTGTGGCAAATCTAAAAAGAAGTGCACTGTGTCTTTCCTCACCACCCAGTTCTCTGCAGCTTGGGGTATGTCCAAACTGGCCTTTTTTTTAATTGAATGTGCACTGTAAATTCTTGGCTTTGGGTTTTAACACAGGAAAAGGATGTGTTCAAAACCCAAACATTTTTATATGGAAAATATAAATGTTTTTTTTTTAATTGCAAACCCAGAATGGTAAAAGAAGTGTGTGAACACCATGCTACACAACCTAAAATGTACATTTAAAATGTAAAACTAAAATGTAAAGAAAATTTGCGGATATCTCATTTCAAAATGTGATTCAAATCCTTCGTATGACTGTGCTCTGTCCCTTCAAGAGGCATTTGAAACTGACAAGCTGGATGGAGTTTTTGAACAAATGTTTGGGAGAAGGTCAAAATTCTGCTCTCACTCACTTCTGCTCTTCTGCGTATAAATGTTTCGCCTTCTAAGGACTCTGTTTTTGCACATTTTTCTTTCATCCAGTCCCAGGTTCATCTGTCTCAAAGCGAGGTTGGGGGGATGTCCTGTCAGCCTTGTCCTTATGTTTAAGTTGTCGTTCCCTCAGGCAGACAAGTTATTTCAAATAAATTCAGCAAACAGTATGTAGCCTCTCTGTTGCGTTAATTAGGATTTGACCAAATTACTAAAGTGGGCTTTGGACTTTGGTTCCAAACCACTCCAGAGTAAAAACTGGCAAGAGGCACTGGTGGGCATGCTATAAAAGAGCCAGTTTCACATTATTTATTCAGAATCAGCATTGCCTGTAAGTTAAAGTAAATGTCAAGCCTTGAGCTGAGAAAGCAAATCCCTAGACAAATTGTACTCCATCACAGCAGTTTCACACTGTGTCCCGGTGTTCCCGGTGGGAGCAGATCTTTTTTCCTCACAGCATCTGTGCACTAATGAGACAGTAAAGAAATTAATGACACATTTCATCAGTGTGGCCTGAAATATTAACAATAAAATAAAAAGAATATTGGGTATTTTGAAACAATTAGGTCCTCAGGTCTTGTCATCCACTTTAGGTGAACTGAGAGCACTCTGCTCATCTTTTTTTTTTACTGAAAATGCTATATGCCAATGTTATAAACTTGCAGCTGAAGATTGAAAACGATTGCACTGAAATCCATATGTCCATCCACTATCAGAAAGCAGATGACTCCTGACAAGGGTCACTGCAATACAGAGACACCAGTCTATGCTCAAGCAATTTACAGCCAACAAGTTAAACTAGTCAGCATGTCTTTGAAAGGTGGGAGGAAAACAGAATACCTGAATGAAACCCATGCAAACAGGAAAATACGGAAGCTCTACATAGAGTCTGGATACAGACCTGGGAACCAAGAGTTGTGAAATAGCAGCAATAACTGTCCTTCCACACACACTACCTTGTAATCCTTTGACCAAACCGACTGATTTGGTCAGTGAGCAATCCTAGATAGAGATTTTGCCATAATCCTCCTAGCTGTGGGAACTACTGTCCGGCCAGAAAGACAAAGTTATCAAAACTCCCCCACAACATGATATGAGCCTACTCAAGATGCCCCTAGCCCCTACAAGGGTAATGAGAGGGTAGACTGTGGTTTGTTTATTGAAGTTAGAAACTCTATATAGTGCATATAACTGATATTCACCACGACTGCTTTAGTTCCAACTGGAATGTTTTTATTGCATCCGTGTTCAGCTCGTTTTGTCATCTCTTGAGAATATTTGGAGAAAAAAATATCCAATGCTCGGCATGTGCTTCCAAAAATGTCTCAACCTTGATTTTGACACGCTTCCTACATCCGTAGGTCGATTCCAAGCTGCAGAGCGGTCAGAACTCAACAAGCCTGCCGAGCAGGTGGACGATTACATGGAGGTGAAACCTCTCTGGACCACAAAAGATGTAGCCATGAGGGTGCACCGAGGATTCAGGTTTGCTTCCTCTTACACTTTCCTCTGTTCTTCGTTGAGGACATTGTGGAAACACCTATGATCTCACCTATGATCTGAACCTCACAGTGCCTTCTTCCTTCCTTTCTTTCTTTCTTTCTTACCAAAAACCCAAACGCACATTGAAAATCTCCCTCTACCATACATGTCAAAAGCTCACTCCCCATAATTTCTACCCCTTTATTTTATTCTGTTGATGCATATTTTTGCACATAACCTGTTACCTTTTTGTTGTTTTGCACATTGCCTGTTGTTGTTGTTTTTTTGCACACCATCTGTTGTTGTTTTTTGCACACTGCCTGTTGTCTCTGTCTTTCTTTTGCTACACAATTGTATTGTTGTTGTTGTTGTTGTGGTTTTTTTTCTCTTTGTACTACTTATGTCCGAGAGCTAGCTAAATAGCATTTCGTTATACCATATACCATGTATATGAGTGTAATGACAATAAACTTGAACTCGAACTTGAAACCATACCCATGTTGTGCGTCAGATTTTGTTGTTTACCTTTAGCAGTGTCCCAGTGAGAGATGTGCTGCTATTCGGAGTGCTTGTAGGTGTTTCCATGGATCCTCTTAACACAGGGGAGGTACACAGAGGGTTATATAGTTGAAAATGTGCTTCAACTCTAAAACAACCACGAATTTCTATTTATAATCTATTTTTCATGATTAGCCCCAGGATTCTTAAATGAGTTGCTATGACCTGCGCCCACTCCTGTTCATTGCCTGTTGTGTGGATGCAGTTAGTGTTCAGGCCTCTGGTTGTTTGGGATTGTCTGGTAAAGAGCAGGTCATGTGCGCCGCCACATCTTTGTCCTAGCGAATTCAGCCTTTAAGGCGAATCTCATGTCAATGTTTGCTTTTTTTTTAAAAACAATTTCTCTCAGGGTCATCGGCTTGTTTTCACACGGCTTCCTGGCGGGTTACGCGGTGTGGAATATCATCGTTGTGTACGTGCTGGCAGGGAATGATCTTGCTGCCCTTCCCAACCTGCTGCAACAATACAAGACTCTGGCCTACCCTTCGCAGTCCCTGCTCTACCTGCTGCTGGCCCTAAGCACTGTATCTGCCTTCGACAGGTACCATGGTCCCTCTGAATTACACTGTGAATCAGTCTTTGACTGCTACTAATGAGCTTTGGCATTGCAACATCACCCATGTCACAGTACATTTGTGACGCCTGCTGCTTTTCCTCATCATTTCTATGTGCCCTGCAGATAGATGTTGCAACAATTATTTCTGTCCTTTCTACATGCCTTTAAAGGTCTAATGAGCACTGTTAAGATGCGTTTAAGTACATTTCCCCCTAATGTCTAGATGATGAAGAAAGCTCTTTTGCTTATTTTTCTTAACGTGGTGATTAAAGGTTTCAATACTGGACTGAGGCGGTGTCAATGTGTGCTTGTTTTGCTGCTTTCTCATGATGGAATTTTCTTTCAAGAGAGTTTAATGCTTTATTATTGTCAAACGACTGAATATCACATTCTTTCGGAGATTAACTACTCCCTAAAATTGTCAAATAGGAAAGCAGAAAGAGCGAGAAAAAAAAACGTAAGGGGTGAATTATGAACGATCATAAAAACGCCAGTCTTTGAATTGCCATAAGATGATTTATAGTTTCTACCAAATGACATCCAGCAGAACTTAGTCTGTTTTGCAGGTGCATTGAAATTTTGATCTACTATGAGCCCAGGTCAGAGGCTGTTAAATATTTAAGAATGTGAGATGTTATTTTGTGCTCTAATTGTTAGCATTTCTGGATTTGTAGGGTAAACTTAGTTAAAGCATCAGTGGCTCTCCGTGGGTTCCTCACATTAGATCCAGCTGCTGTGGCTTCCTTCTGTGAGTAGTATATTTAGTCCATTTCAGCACATCGAAAATGTCTTTGCAGGGGGAGTGGGAGATAGTTGGTTGGTAAAGGCATGAGATGAACACATGTACCATCCATCCATTTTCTAACCACTTCATCTAGTTCAGGGTCATGGGAGAGCAGGAGCAATGGGCACAAGGCAGGGTACACTCTTGATGGGATGCCCGTCCATAGTAGCGCACACGCAGACACAGTCACCCTAGGGCCAGTTTTAACCAATTAACCAATGGATGGATGGACACTTCACTTCTGTCTTTGGAAATACTTGATCCAGGCCAAAATTGCATGACATTTCTTAGAATAGCCTGCATATCATCATCATCATCGTCATCTCCAGAATGGACAGGTTCATTCTTTCAGACATGCTTAAAGTTGCTTTGTTTGTTAGAGGCATTTTTATGCTCACTTTTTTTGAAGCATGATGTGCTATTATAGTCACAGAATAGAATTCTCTTGATTTTTTTTTGCCATCTAATGTTTTTTCATCACAGAGAAAATAAATTTAATGGCATGCCATGGTATGTTCTTCTCTTCCCACCAGTGTATTTTGTAGCTCTCATCTTGTCTTTGAGCCAGCAGATGACCAGTGACCGAATAAACCTTTACTCACCTAACAACGAAACCTTATGGTAAAGACTGGTATAAGTTAATTGCTTTTTTTCATACTGCTGAACTTAATGTAATGCCTTTGAATCTACGTAAAGGACCAGTCTTGACACAGAGAGAGATGTAATATTTGATATTACAGATATTGGCCAAGTGAATGAAATATGTTCTAGACCTCTTGTTCTAAGCAGCACGTTTCAGTAGTTAGGTCATAATCTGAAAAAATTATGCTATTTAGGCTATCCTACTTTGCCACTAAACTTTCAAAATCCGCATTAAATGTATGATTTTATTTGATTTTTGGAGAAAGTGTATGGATTAATACACTGCGTTGCTCTATTGAGACTCCTGCTTAGATTAATTTTGTACACATGGAAGCATGGCTTAGCACTTCATAATGAAATTTTCAAATGTGTAAGATTTAATAATGTGAACACTAGTGGTGTTCTCCAGTTAATCTTCCCCCATTTTGATGTGTTTAGCAGGGATAAAAGGGAAATCTTAATTGGGGGTTTGACATTTTGTCTTTGGGAACAGGCCTGCTGGCACTGAACATCAGATCCTACAGCCCTGGGTTGTGGTCAATCTGGTAGTGGCACTGCTGGTGGGACTGGCCTGGGTTTTCCTTTCCACCAGACCACTGACGGATTACACAGAAGGTAGGAAACACCTTTTATGAAGTTTACAAGTGAAACTAAAGAACAAGGATTTCGGTTTTCTAAGGCGCTGTCTGGATGTTGCTGGAATTGAATGTTATCTGTCAGAGCAGGACTGAAAATCATTTTTCCCCCCTAATGAAAAGCAATTTTAAACTAGAGTTTGAACAGTCGCCAGTCTGCCACAGTCTATTCTTTAAACATAAGTTCTATTATGGTCAAACACACTGCTGTGAGTCACAGCACAAAAGTGACATTTAGTGTTTGTTTAATGCCAAACTGGTGTCTCTCTGTACTGATACAGCTCTTGGCATGTAATTACTCAGCCGTCCGTGTACAAACGTGAAATGATGAAACATGAAGGAACATCTGAGGTAGCCGAGATTCAAGTAATGGCACCTCATGTTTCATGCATTTTGGGGCTATAAGACCTTTGAAGTTGGAGTATATTCAAGTTATGATTTTTGAATTTGTTCTTTTGTTGGCAAGATCTATATAAGCTTTGACAGTAGCGTTTTTCTGCACTTTCATATGTACAGAACCCAAAGTATCAGGATGAAAACAATAGCATTTGAAATTAGTAGGTCCTGCAGGCTGTGGGAGTCATTCATTGTCTCTGCGTGTCTGTGTGCTTTGTTCTGTCAATACAGTGAAGCTGATCTGCCCATAAGCATGTTTCTGAAGCGCAATTCATCATTTGTCTTTATTTTTCCCCCCTCTAGAGAGCTTGTTTGGTATGGAATTGGAAGAGTACCCAAAGACAGAGGAAAAAAATGAAATTCAGGCATAAAGATTTTTTTAGTTTGTTGAAACTAGTTTGAAATTGTAGCCTTGATGGTCTGTTTATGTACTGTAAACAACTTAAATGTACCCTGCATGATGTTTTTTTTAAGAAATTTATTTTTGTATTGTGTATTGTATTTTTATGATGTGTGTATCTGTAGGTATACATTTTTACAATGTGTAGTTATTTTTTTTTAAATACAACGTACCTTTGTGAAAATTGAGTCCTTGGCTTTTTTTCTTGAAAAAACGATAATCAAAAAGACAATCTCTTATTTTCATCCAGTGAGTTTTTATACTTTGTTTTCAAAGGAGCTGAAAGAATGTTTTAATCATCAGGAATCAATATCCCAATACTGCTGCTGCTATTATTTAATTATTTTTCCATGTGAATTTTATGTCTTCTCCAGGCTCAGTGAATTCCTTAATAGCTATTACAAACTATAGATTTACTTTTATGCTGTTCCAATGCTGAAGTCCCTCAGTGAGAGTTTAATGGAGATTTCTTTCTTTTGCTATCTATTTTTAAAACTTAAAAATAGATTTTAAAACTTTTAAAATTTAAACTGCATAAATGAGAAAAAGCACCTAGTAAAATTGTTGAATGATATAAAATGACTTGCACAGTGGTATATATTCTATGCTTTTTATAATGCATGCAAAAACAGAAAAATGAAAGGATAATTGAACAGCATATCTTTGAATATTAACACTACCCGCTCTATCTTCATAACAGTGCTCAGGGGGGTGACTTGATCCCCAAGGTATCAGCATCAAAGATTCATTATCATTATAAATTGAACTCCAGAATGACTTAAACAAATAGGCAAAGGCTACTAATAAGGGGAAGTATTGGGTAGCATTAACCCAGGGTTCCTCAGGAGTGGTTCTTGAGTCATCTGTTTTTTTTTACAGTTTGGATATTAAGTTGATTGAACCGTTTCCTTTTTTAACCAATTTGCTTAGGCCTAGGTAACCAGATTCAGTTTCATTCTATTAAAATAAGAGGACAAAGTCAATAATGATAAACTCCAGAAAAGAACAGTGGAAATTAACACCATAACATGTTAACCCTAATCAAATATCTGATTTTCCTCACTTTTCTGCTGTGTTTTTGGACAGTACTCCAAATGCCACAAGATGGAATTTCAATATCTAAATATGATACTGCGGTTTAAAAATGGAAATTATCCACTAATGTTATTGAACTGTGGGGGTAATAGAAGCAGAGCCAATGAGAGTACAACCATCATTTTATTTGCCAATATTTTATTTACCACAACAAAATAGTGCAAAACAATACAATTTATGACATCATGGTTTTAATAAATATTAATATTAATAGACCTTCTATTCTTAGAGAGACCTGTTGTTTTCTTACCATTATTCTTAGGTTTCTGATCCATTTCAAATCCCTTAATGCTTTTGTCTGAATTATGTGTAGTGAGGTGTTACACAGTTCAGAACCTTTTTTCAAACTTTTTTTTAAAGTGACCTTATTGGAAGGCTATGTGGAAAAAAAGTTCATTCAACAATAGAATTTCTTTAATATGTAGTGATATTTATTTTGTCTTTGTTAGGTATTCCATTTAATATTATGGATAATTGTTTCTTGCTTTTGTGCATTAAAAAGATAGTAGGTCTCAAGGAAGTGAGTTCTTTAAACTGTATATATACTGATGGGAAACAGAAATGCAACACCTCCTTCTCCACACTCTGGCCCTCCCGTCAGCGTGGAACAGACTGAAGAGTAACTCATCCATGAAAAGGACCTGATGCCACTGCAGTCCATCGCAACCTCTGTCTGGCCCAAGCCAGTCTGGTGTAAGATAAGATCACTTTATTGACCATATACAACTTCTTGCATTAGGAATTTGTCTTTTCACATACCCCAGCTTGCTCTCCATGAGACAGACAGGGAGAGAAGCTTGGGGTCAGACCACAAGGTCAGCCATTTATATGGCACCCCTGGAGCAGTTGGGGTTCAGGGCCTTGCTCTGGAGCCAAAGGGAGTAGGATTCCTCTGCTAGCTGTGGGATTTGCACCAGCAACCTTCCAGCCATAGGTGCAGATCCATAGCCACAGAGCCACTTCTTCGCCCCAGACATCTAGGGGGTGTGAGCTGAGGATCTCTGACAGGCCAGCAGCATGGAGCCTCACTGTCCTGTCACTGTTGCGGGCATTGTGTCTGCCGGCAGTTTCAGCAGCAGTACGGGTGGCAGATCTGAAACGATCTCTCAGATGGACCAGTATCATGTGTTGGTCCTGCTCTGGTGTGGTCACTCATGGGTGACGGGATCCAGGACAGTAATCTGTCCTGCCGATCTACTGAAACCTTCTCTGCAGTCGGGATACAGTGGAGCGGCTTACTCCATAGTGTCTGGCAACGCTGGCACATGACATGCCTGCCTGCAGCATGCCGATGGCCTTCTCCCTTGCTTCTGGTGACATTCAAAGCATTATGGAATGCACAGAAAACTGACTAACTGTGGCCTTTTTGCTGCAGTGACCTAAGCTTTGAATTAAGGCCTTTTTAAAGGTGACCTGATCAGGCACTGTTCCACCTTGACCTCATTGGGTAAAAGTGCACAAGCTTTATTGCTGGTCAGAGGGCTTAAAACAAATTGACAACTTTTTGTGAAAGTACATAAGCTATAACTATAGTATTCTCGTTCCAGAAAATGTTGCATGCTTTTTCATCCATATATATATATAAAAAATAAAAAGTGAAAATCCTCCGTTTCCGCAATGAGAAAAGCATCCATAAAAGGGTCCTTTGTATGTCATGAATTAAATTCTTTTCTGCAAGAGCCTAACTAATTTACTTATTTTCCAAGGGTTATATGTGGGCTGGGCTTTTCAGATACATTGAAAGGCAAGGTGAAAGTGTTTTTGTCAAAGCTGCCAGAAAGACATTGAGCTTGTGCATTGTAACAAGGGTGCCTACTTACATATAGAGCTCTTACAGAGTATTTGGCTATTAACGGACTTGATTGCAGAGACTATGGCATCTCGGACACTTGCATTGTGTCTTTCACAGTATTTTCTGCCATTGACATTCCACTGATCGTATGTTTAAAAATACCAAAAAGGAATCCAGACCATTGAACACTATAAGCCTAAATGTTTATGTCCCGCCCCCCCGTCCCCCTTTAGTAACGTCATCAGTGAGAATCAATAAAGCTGAAAGATGTGCCTGCCTTTCCATCTGAGGCAAGCCTGCAGCGACGAAGATAATGACAATAACAATCACACTGGAATTGAGAATGTGGAAATCTTTGTTTGGAAAAGCATCATCGGCCATTCTTCTGAAGCACTTTATCTGCAGTTCTCAGTGTGAATGAAAAAATACATCCCTGGAGTAAAACTAAGACTGAAATGGGCGTTTTTCTTGCGGATAAGTTATTTAGCAAAGGTACTGTCATCTTGGTCATTAAAAATCCCTTGGCACTGTTCATATGACTTGGGCTGCTCATCCTGATGTCCTGGATCAAATCTACTAGCGGTGCACAATCATGTTTTCCTAAATTCCACTGAGCAGGCATTTCCTCACTTATCCACCTGTTCCTCTGTGGTTGTACTGTTGCAGAATAGCTGCCACTTAAAGGAATGCTACACCTACTACAGCACGTGTAAACTGCTTTGTTATCTTTTTGAAATAAAAATACAATGTAAATAAGTAAGGAATATTATAATGTTGTTATTATTATTATTGATGATGGAAAACTTGGCTTGATCATTGGCTTAAATTAACTACCAGTTCAACTGTTACAACACCAGAAGATTTCTTGGCATTCTGGGACTGGCTATTTCCAGCTATAGAGCCAATGATAGATTGTTAATGGGCTATTCTTAATAGTTCTGTCCTGGTGGTTATTCCACATTTTTACTGGGACCAACTGGGGCTTTGCCAATCAAGTTTGCTGACAATGGGCATAAAATGTGTTATATTTGTAGATGTCAGAAAATTCATTATTAATCACAGAATACCGCAACTACAGCTACTCCATAATGATGATGATAGTATTTATAGTACAAGCAGTAGCAATAAATATTAGGAAAGTATGAACTCTTATTTTAAAAGGTAGTAAAAATTACCATTCAAGTTGTCCGAGTACGGCGTAAGAGGAGCTCAAACATCATGCTTAATACACAATATATAATTTTGATACGTTTTTTGATTGTCTGAAACACTGACTGTTGGACCCAAGTATTTCCTTTATTTGCCTTCCTGGAAAAAAATATCAGCAGTTTAAAGGAAAGAGGTTTCGGTTATTTAAAAAAAAATCGAAAGGGGGCAAAAGGCACAGGCAATTACATCATTCTGCGCTGCAGTTTGGTTTACGCGTCTGATGTGATCCATGGATCTGAAATGGATTGCTTTTGCCTCTAGCCAAGGCTGTTGAGTTGAACCCCGAGGTTTGCAAGTGCAGCAGTGGTAGACGTGGTGCTCAAGGTGTTGTCCGGCGACGTGAGGGGGTTTGCACCGCTGTGACTGAAGGGGATACGCTGTTGTAGAGTCCTAAAGTAAAACGTGCAAAAATGTTGGACTTTGCCATCTTTGCTGTAACATTCGTAATTATCCTCGTCAGTGCTGTTCTTTATTTATATCCGGTAAGAAGTCAGACCAAAGGTTTCTTCTGAAAAGATGCTGCATATCCGTGTTCCTTTTTTACCAAAGGCCTTATTCGGGCGTTCACAAATGTTATTTTTTTAAAATGTAACTCATGCACGCATTTACATAAAATACACGGTTGTCAAGGAAATGAACGTTTCCTGATTACTTACGCCTCATACTTGTAAGAAAATGAAACTAAGCCACAGATGAAATTCCTCTTATATTGGAGCACATGAATCTGGAGAGCTTTGTTCCTATGGCAACTAAAGTTAAAAATTCGTGTGCATTTGTTCTAGTTTCTTTGTTTTAACGGCAGGCCCTTAACAATGAGCTCGACGCATCTTTAAGAGTGTACTGTTGTAAATACAGTAAAACAAGATACTGCATGCCCAAAATTCAATGAAGGGCAAACTACAGTACCGACTTCGTACTAAATTTGAAATTAAGAAGTAAACTGAATTTTATAGGGTCAGTAGTAATTTTGGGGTAAATTCATTTCATTGTAATCCAAGTTTGGTTTGACATTGATGTAGTCAGAAGTGCACATCTTCGCAAACTAACACGTAGTATGCAAAATACTAAGAAGTACTACACTACGGTGATAAAATTGTAGTCACCCAAGTCAGAGACCTCGTTGCACGTTTTGTAAAATTGTTTTACCTTTTTGCTTTACTGATGAAGTATAGTTGCATAAAGATATGGATCCTGTTATTCATTTCATGTTCATTTAATCCTGTTATTCATTTCATGTTTCTTTTACTTGTTTTTTATTATATATTCTGTTATACATTTCTTCTTGTTAAAATAGAATTTGCTGAGCGGGAGGTTGAAAGATCTTGTTGGTGGATCGGTAGTTATCAGTCTATCCACTGTGTCGGAAATAGCAAAGCAGTGCCCGAAGTATAGTAACAAGGGGGGGCATATTCATGATATTTGTCAAACGGAATCCCTGCATACTTGTAGTTAAAGTTCCCTTTGTAAAAAAAAATATTCGGTGGCTAAACCATATAGTCCTATGTTAATTCAAGCTGTCTGATATTGCCTTCTCTACACTGTCAATCAGTGTTAAAAAATCCACACTAGTCCAGTTTATCTACTGTGTTAGGTGATCTTACTGCACACAACGCGTGCTGAGTGCCACCCCCGTGTTGTACTTTCCCTCCTGCCTGTAAAGTGCTTTGGGTCCCTCTGGGTATACATATGCTGCATAAATGCACCTTATGACTGCTAATAATGGGCTGATTATATGCTGTTGCACAGAAGAGACATTGAACATTAATAAAGGAATCAGAAAGTGTCGATTAAATAAGTGTTTATCTCCTTTGCTTTCCATGCTTTTCCTCAGGATTATTTTAGGATCATTTGGATAGTATTTTTTTTCTACATTTTTATGCCTCAAAATGAGATTATTGTAGGTATCTTTCTGCCTTCCACTTGGCTCTTTTTGTTTTAGTTTTCTATAACTATCATTAATTATAGGAATTATAATTATTTCAGTACATCAGCATTTGTTCTGTGCATGTATTTTGTAGTTTTCATTAAAAGCTTTGTCTGCACCACTGATGTTGTTAGCTTTACCTAAAGAGGACAGAGTTAGATTTATCATTGACTTTATTATTCACTACCTCTGATTGTTAGTAGACAGACATTTACTGCACTGGCACAGCACTCTACAGTCGCAGGCAGGTTTACAGCAGAAAAAGAGGGGTGCATTTCCTAATGGGAATGGTTTAGAAAGTATTCTATGAAATGAAAGTGTCGGGGCTTTCTGCTTGCAGTTTTTGCATACTTAATCTTGTCCTGTCTAGTAATGACCGAACCGAAACAGTAGGCAGTACTGTCCTGTGAAAATACATTCCACAGATGGCATAATCTCTGAAACTATGTCACCTTTTCATGTGAAAATGGAGCTGTTAAGTGTGTATAAAGACCTTGACAAAAGAAGAATGTTGGCAAAATCACTTGGATGCGTACAAGGCAGTAATTTCCAGAGAAGTCATATTGTAACTCTAATGGAAATGCCCAGTGCACAGTGATAAGGCAGTGCTGTGCTGCAGGAGCAGGGCTAATTAATTAATTGCTTACACTTATATAGCGCTTTTCTGGACCCTCCACTCAAAGCGCTTTACAGGTAATGGGGACTCCCCTCAACCTCCACCAACGTGCAGCATCCACCTGGATGATGCGACGGCAGCCATAGTGCACCAGAACGCTCACCACACACCAGCTATCATTGGGATGAGAGCAGAGTAATGAAGCCAATTCATAGATGGGGATTATTAGGAGGCCAATAGGAAGGTAAGGGCCAATAGGAAATTTGGCCAGGATGCCAGGGTTACACCCCTACTCTTTACGAGAAACACCCTGGGATTTTTAATGACCACAGAGAGTCAAGACCTCGGTTTTACATCTCATCCGAAGGACGGCGCCTGTTTAAAGTATAGTGTCCCCGTCACTATACTGGGGCATTAGGACCCACATAGACCGCAGGGTGAGCGCCCCCTGCTGACCCCACTAACACCTCTTCCAGCAGCAACCTTAGTTTTTCCCAGGAGGTCTCCCATCCAGGTACTGACCAGGCTCACACCTGCTGAGCTTCAGTGGGCTGTTAGTTGTGAGTTGCAGGGCGCCAAGGCTGCTGGCGATGATGGGCTGTCATGGCATGGAAGTTGAACATGTTTCTTCTGCAAAAATTATTTTTCATTTATTTGATTGGCAGATGCCAGCATGCAAGGACGCTTGCAGCTAGCTACCTGTAATCACTAAAAGAAGTGGACAAAGTGCAGTTATGTGGAAACGATGAAAATGGTTATTTGCAGCTGTGGATGCAGTGGCTAATATTTAGGGCAGACTACAGGTTTCGTTGGAATCGGGGAGTTTTGATCAAGTGATGCGACGCAGTCTGTGACTGCTCTGTCCAGATCTGTGTTCATTATGATTACAGAAAGAACAGGCTGTAGAAGGAGAAGAATAAGGAGGGGAGGTGGTGTGACCAGTCAGACATCAAAGGAAGAGCACAGGGGGCAGGTAGATGTTTAAGGAGGTTGGAAGAGGTCAAACCTCCATTTTTGTAGCAGTGATACTGTAAGGGGGGTCTGTGAATAGAGCAGGACAGTGGCATGGCATCAGAGAAATGGGAAAGAAGACAAGGTGAGCAACGAAGCTGGAATGGCCTGCAGTGAGTGAATACTAGATGCAGTGAGGCCAGCTGCAGCTGATGGTGACAGGGCATTCTCGGTACTGCTACAAGATTATGGAGTGATCTTTGATCAGTTTTCAGCACTTGTATTTTACTGTGTTAAACCCGTTTGATTGTGCAGCACATTGGTGGTGAGTAATGCTTCCTCACAGAATCTGGGTCTTGGGTTCGATTTCTGACTTCTCTCTGTGTTCTCTCTGGTTTTTCTGCAGATGCTCTGGTTTCCAAACACAAGCTGGCCCTTTCGTGTCTGTAAACTGTGCTTGGAATCCCCTCCACTAAACTATAGCGTAGTCATGTAGTACTTCTGCCTTGTGCTTCCAATATACAGTAGGCTCTAGAACTGCTCGTGTCAGTGAGCAGCTTTCTTATGAGAGATAGAAGGTGTATGACTTACCTGTGAATTTGCACTATTTCACTATATACTTTTAATTCTCTTACTAAGTCTATAAGTCTACGTGTCCTTGGATAAAGACTTAAGAAAAATTAATTAATAACTACTACTGCTATTGATACTGATATGAAGTTCCCAGCTATAGTATTACTGTTTTAGTACTGGCACTTTCTTGAAACTTTGCTACAATTTTAGTTGCAGTTGTAAGTTTATTATATGATAACTGTAAAGGACCAGGCTGTTTTATTTCCATTACGTGTTTTGGTATGAGCTGTTGTTCCCTAAAAAAGCCAACACCAAAGTCAACTTTTTCCTAGCTTAGCAAGGTACTTTTGAGCTAATTTGCATTGACAGGTGTGTGATGTTAAAAAAAAAAATAATTATTTTTTGCATCCGTAGTTCACTTTTTCACACACTGCTTTTTGAAAATCCTGAAGTAGGTCAGGAAATTGGTTTTCCGATATTCGTCGGCACAAGTGCCTATCATTTACTTAACAGCCAGTGTGTGTGAACTGAACTTAATTCAAGCTCAGGAAAGGAAATGCTGTTTGTCATTTTTTGAGATGGTGTTTTTGAAAGAGAAAGCGTAACAGCTGAAAGTTTTCCCTCATTTTCTGTCTTGGTTCAGGCTTCGAGGCAAGCTTCAGGAATTCCAGGATTGACCCCTACGGAAGAAAAGTAAGTTGTGAATTGTATTTCTTGTATTTTCTTCACTACTGTGAGAAAATGTCTAGAGGGATAGGAATTAAATATAGAGCCTAAGATTGTGCTGATCTTCTGTCTTGCAGTGCTCAGGTGTTGCTGATCCTTTTAACACAGTTACATCACTGTTAAGACAATTCTTTCACATCCTCTAATAGAACTGAATAACGCACTTACCGAAGAATCTACAGTATAGATACATCAGCGTAAGTTCTTTTATCAAATGTAAGCCGATTTTCAGGCCTCAGCCAGTTTCTTACACTTCTTTAAAAGCAGTTAAGAGAACTGCTTCTAATAATCAAGGTGACTCTAAACTAGACCAGGATTTTCTTCACTTTATTAGTAATTACCCATTTTAGTTGAAACTTTAAAGGTTACTGCAGTTTACTGTCATAACATGGCTTTGTGCTCGTACATATGTAAAGAGCTTTGAGATCTTTTGGGGTTTAAAAAGCTCTGTACAAGTGCAGTTGTAATCATTACTTTTTTTACATATATACAAAGCCTATCTTCATTAATGGTTTGACAGTTCTGTTAAATATTGTCATATAAAAAAGCTATTAAAATATATAATTAAAATAAAATACATTGCCTGGGGTAGTCAGATAAAATTTGATAGACAATCCTATGTTATAGTAGTGTAATATGGTAATACTTCATCTGGGGAGTATCCCACACATACTGTATCTGTTTTCTTTACCTATACAGTATATCAGCCTTACCTCCTGTTTGGATCTAACAGCCCATTCAGTGAAAACCTAGTTTTTGCACTTTGGTTTGTCCTAAATAATTTATAAATAGCAAAGATCTCAGAGATTTTGAATGTCCTATCCATCAAGTATCGAAAGATTATTGCCTCTGAAGGAGCAAGATCTAAAATAGTTTTGATCCACAGATAATACTTGGGAGACTCTGAATCCCAATGGCAAAAAATACATTTGAGAGTACATGACAACTGTAAATGACACAGTGTGTTATTAAAACTGGTAAACTGGTCGGGTACAAAGAATGCATTTCACACAAACACGGATGTAACATCTGATTTCAATGTCTTAAGGTGATATTTGAAGGAATGGAAGTCTGCTTGTAAATAAGTAGTCAAGGCAAGGTGTGCCAAATTAATTCTTTGTGAAATCCTTCTGGTGTGCTCTGCTCAACTTGAGAACACCATCTAAAAATATGTTTTCATAGCAAAGCACTTTATGTGAAATACATTTTTGATTGACTAGACGAGATAATTCAAGAGACAGGCTGGACCACTATTCCATGAGTCTCTCCAAGGAGCTGACACACTGTATGTTATTTTGCATTACCTCACAGAGGCCAAAGTTAGAAGGTAAAACAGCATTAAATATGAAATGACTGCTTTTCAGTTTCATCACTGCAGTTTGTCCTAGAGCTACTACATCCTGAACTAAATTGCTGAGTAGTGGGAGACGTACGTGCTTTATTGCCGTGCAAAAAATGTATAACGTCATGTTATTTTAAGCGTGGAAAGGTCTCCTGATTGTTAAAATTTCTTCACACATTTGTTCAGATAGTGCTTCAAAATGTAAACTAAATCATCCCTTTACCATTATGAGCCTTATTGTAACCATTCATAATGGATTTTAAAAAGCTTTTTCAGAAGTAATTTAACTCTTCACAGCAGTCGAGTATGTATTCTTTTTTCCTCATTGAGTATGGAGTAGCTTAAATTGGAGTTGTCCCAGTTTCTAAGGAAAATCTGTGGTAGGTCTTCAAAATTTGTTCTCGTGTTGTCTGTGATATTACACTTTATAATCGTGCAGGTGGACTAGCTTTTACAGCAAAGCTGAACTCGAAATTACCTCTTTCGTTTCATTAATTGTTTGGAGAATGGTCATGGCCTAAAAACAGGGAAGTTCATATGAATTCAGTGAACTGGACTACAGCTGAAGAGCTCATTATGAATAATAGTTTATTCTCCCCAGGGATGTTATTTTGAAACATAGGTTTGTAAAAGTGTGAAACAGCCTTATGAATTAATCTTTTACGGTTTCTCTACATTCAGTTTTAACACTGCATTTATTGTTTGTCCTCCTCAATAATTTTTGTCTCCAAGGGCTGCATATTTGAATTTCGAGTAATAGAATCCCAGGAGGCTATTTTTCAGATTGTATTTTTCTGGGAGTGATTAACACAATTGAAGAGTAGCAGGGGGAGTTTTTTTTTTGGTAGAAAGTGGTAGAAACGTTTAACCTTTGAAACAAAGGAAGGGGAATTTTATATGCTGTATAATTTGGTTCGAAATTAAACCCCACATACAGTATTGTCTGGGGTTGGATTTTCTAAAATTATCAATTTTAGTTACAAAAATCCCAACAAAATCTAACCTGCTTAATTTCAGCTGTTTGAAAGGTGTGTGTATTATTGGAGTAATGTGTCCGACCAGCTACTGTATGAGAATTTAAAAGGTTTTAATTGCATTTCCCACCAGAATTATAACCCCTACAACTATAACCCTACAATTGTAACTGTAATTCCTAGAGAACACCTTTATAATGTTTAAGAAGATTATTCTGCATTCAGAACCACTTATAACAATTTCTTACAGGGCAAATGGAGTCTAGATATATCGGACTATGCCCCATGAAATGGACAGTCTATTCATCTGGTAGAACGAACCTAATTTTTGTAGTGTAATGTTATGGATAATTTTGGCTTGATCAACAAATAACAGTAGAATAGTACAGTTAGAATTATGTAAAACAGTTCTATCAATCAGAGTCAGCAATTATTTTATGATGTACATATAACATATATTATGTGAGGGCAGCACAGGGGTTGGCATTGCTGCCTCGCAGAAGTGGGGCCCAGGGTTCAGTTCTGGACCTGGGGTGCTGTCTGCGTGGAGCTTGTTCTCCTCGCGTTTGCATGGGTTTCCTCCAGGTCCTTTGGTTTCCTTGCACAGTCCAAAAACATCCTGGAAAGTGAATTGACTTCTGGGAAAATTGGCCCTGGTGAGAGTGTGTGTGTCTGGATTGGACTCCAGTCCAGGCTGTACCCCCTGCTACCCTGAACTGGAAAAAGCAGTTAAAAAATGGATGGAGGATATGTTGCACATCTACCCAAATTTAGAATTGGATGTCCTGTCTGTATATCTCAGCTTGTAGTGTCAACCACTGATCCCATTCGGGGAGAAAGGGGTAGTGCATTTGGCTATCGAGCTGTACATCATGTGATGAGTTCTATAAGCTCTGCAGTGGCATACAGGGTAGTTTAGTGTTGATTGAAAGAGAAGCATGTACTGTACCACAGTGATATCAGCACAAGCCTGTGGCCTCCTGGAAGCAGGCAAGAGTTGATATTTTTGTGACGGGTGTGAGAACTCCCTGGTAGACTAATCCCAATCCCAACCCTTCCCCCAGTGGTAGGGAACAAATTGTGCGCTGCTCGTCTTCTCACTTCTCTGCTTTTCATAGTCGGATAGTAACACGACCAAGGCACAGACTGTGAAATCTTCACTTCCATTTGATTTTCATCTCAATCGGTTAATGCAATGACCCAGTAACTTCTTTTTTACAAGAAGAGTCGAAGCTGTTAAGACAAGTTGACTGCCTATTTTTTGTGTGAGTAATGTTATCGATAATTCTGGTTTGGTCAACAAAAAAAAACACCGCAAAATAGTACAGTTGTTGGAAAATAGAATCTTTTTATCAGTTTATAGTCACCATATCTTTTATTAATAAAAAGGAAAAAATAAGCTCCATAGTTGCCCATCTCTCTCTCCCAGAGACATCAAAAGCCTTCAGAGCTTTGAGTTCTAATTCAAACAGCTCCTGAGGAGGTAAATGACATTTAGGGGTGGAATCGAGATATAGAAGGTAAAGAATTAATAACCATGCCTTCTGAAGTTGGTTTTAAAAGCAGTGGTCTGTTTCTCTAATTCTAAGGAAAAAGCCAAACCTCAAATTGGCAGCAGATTATTAACGCTTGCTTTTCTGAAGGTCACGTTGCACAGGACAGTTAGCATTAACAATACAGGATCAACATTCCTTAGCAAGAATTGCCAGTGTTTATTTTTCTAATTTATACTTGTCAATTGAGTACTGGCAATAGAAGAAAACAGTGTTGAAGTCTTGATTGCATGATGTTAGTTATACCCTTAATATCAATATTCAGTCTCCTGGTGATATTCCAAGCTCTTACCAGCTACAGTACGTACCACTTAGCAATTCTGCTGGAATTTTCTAATAGTTGCTTTGTTCTGTTTTCGATTGTGTGCCAGAGATGGAAACCTTCCAGACATAGTCAGCAGAGGCAGCCTACATGAATTCCTGGTTAGTCTTCACGAGAAATATGGGCCAGCTGCCTCCTTCTGGTTTGGGCGACGCCTGGTGGTCAGCTTGGGCTCGATAGACCTCCTCAAACAGCACATCAATCCCAACCGGACATGTGAGTATGACTGGGGTTGGTGTGAACAGGTACAGATACTGTACAGATCCCTTTCAGTGAGGGGTCAGGTAAGACATTAAACAATGTTAAGATGGTCATATCTTATCAAGAAGAGGTTTGCAGCAGTTTTCTTTCTGGTTAATTTAAACCTAACATCTGAACCTAAAAGTGCCTTTCCAAAGGGTTTGTCATTTTCATTAATATTGAGTCAGCCATCAGAACTGCATTCCCACATATATATATTTTTTAATTTTGGTAATTTCTTTTAATTCCCTTATTTATCACAGGTAATAATAATTTAAAATCACAGTCTGATTCTATTCTAACCTCATTCTCTCATTTCAATCAGAAAACCATCACATCCTGATGAGGGGAAATTTTGAAGGATTGAACGGAGGTCTCTTGCCTCCTCAGTTCTTTTAGTTATTTTACATAATTATCTGCTTGTTGCTGAAGGGCACAATATTGGTCTTTAGGTTTCTACTGTACCGGGCTTCTGACTGTGGGTTAGGTAATTAAGTGTTTTAACTGTGTAACATGTCTTTGTGAGTTTGACTGCTATAAATTTTGTCTTTCACCACCTATTTTTGCATTATGACACCTACAAAATTTGTTAATGCATATATTAATGATCATCGGCCTTTTCTACAAGCACTGCACAGCTTCAAAAATGAATTAAAAGTTACAGCTTTAAAGTGGAAACTGTTTAAGCACAAGGATTAACTTAAGAAGGTGAGTGTTATCTTACAGTAGTTTTCATGCTCATAATTAATAAACATCAGATAGGAGCAAACCTCCTTGAAGTTTCTAATTGGTGGACAAATCGGGTATGCTCTCTGGCCAATTTAGCCAATATCTTAAAATGCCAATGGGATCATATTATCAGCATATATTGAGGTCCAATTTTCCTGTGCTGAACGTTCAATATTCTTCTCACATGACCTACTTTTTGATAGCAAACAAAGTTGACAGGGCTCTTTAACTGTGTTGTTCTTCTGCTTGACAGAAAAATCTTACTCCCACTGCTCTCTCTCCTGGCAAATTCTCCCACTTTGATCTTTTTTTACTTCCCACTGAAGAATCCTGTCTTGGAGCAACTGAACATGCTGGCTGTCCTTGTTCTTTGGCATCTGCTTCAGATGAATTGAAGAAGCATCTCTCTGATGTTTTCTGTCTTTGTATTTGTTGCAGCCTTTTTGCAACAGGGCTGTGGGATCCAAAGTGTCTTACAGGGTTAGCATGTGACAACACAGAGTTCACTACAGCATTTCTTTCAATGCCAAGTCTAAAACGCAGGGATAGAAATAAACTTCACCTTGGGGAAAAACTGTGATCTGTTTTTTTTAAACAAACAGCTCTACAGCTTCTGTAGTTGGAGATGAAGATCAAATTCTTACAGTACAGCACAGATGCATTTAGACTAAATATTGTATGTTCTATAGCCTGCAACTGATAGATCCTGAAGTGGCTCAAATTTCAAAACTGGGAATCTTGTGAAAAGAAGGTCACATTGCCACAGCTATCCCCTGGATAGGAAGGCCATACTGTTGCTGCCTCTTGATCATTAGCAGCCTCAAACTCAGACTTTCGAGGTCTGAAAAAATGTCGAAAAACAGGGGCAATTGGCAGATCTTTGGGGTTATAGAAGGTGAATGTCTGGGAGCAAGAAATGGGGCTGAGCAGTTTCCTGTGAAAAGGAAATGAGGAGTGTTTTAAAACAAAGCTGTTAATAGGGACTTTTTTCGGGGCTTTCAATGCACGGGCCACTTATTTATTAACAAAATTCAAGATGTGACCCCAGCAACACTGAGAGCTTTATTGGAAGTTTGTCTCTGTCTGCAGCCGATCCCTTTGAAACTATGCTGAAGTCGTTGCTAGGATACCAGTCCGGGCTCAGCGGGGATGCAGCGGAGAGTCTCATGCGCAAGAAGGTTTATGAGAATGGAATCAATAAGGCGCTGGAGCACAACTTCAATCTCATTCTTAAGGTACTCTTCCTCCTTACATGCATCTGTTAATCAAAGCTATCCTACCCAGGTTTGATTATGGTAGCTTGACGGTCATCCTCCTGTTGATGTGATTTCCCTGGATCAGCTTGATTCATTTTACCAGTCTTTTGTGAACAAAACATTGTTCTGCATCCTACTCTGAAAAAATAAATAAAATGCCATCTGTCTTTCTATGCAGATTAACATTATATACTGTATGGTGCAAAGCATGAAATGTCCTGCACCAGATGTTTGCTTATGTGCAAAAGCCTACAGCATGGTTTGTAAAATCTGAAATAGTTCCAAAATATTTTGGAGCTGGAATCTTATTCCATTCCTACAATACTGCTATGCTTGTATTGTTTAAGGCCTCGGTTTGTTCAGCCGCGAGGACTAAGCAGATTATATTTAATTTTTTCCAGCAGAGTGCTGTTTTCAGACCGCATGAATTCATTTTACAATGCATTTGCACCATGTGGCTTTCAGTGCATGCATTAATTCCTTTGCTCTTTCTTGAACTGCTGTAAATCTGAATATACCTGTGCAGTTAATAAAAAAAGACATAATAAATACAATGTTTATTAAAACTGTAGAACAGTCTTACTGTGGCATCATCATGTAGCTTAAGGGTAAACTTTGGTTTAACTCCCCCCCAACCCCTTCTATGTGTTCCCAAGCATTTCCAGAGATATTTAGAAAAAAGTGCTTACGCATGCTTTCAAACTATATGTGGTGTGTGTAGTCATCTTAAAACTCAACACCAAGTTATTTCACACATGTGGTGTATCTAATGTTTGGAGTTTTAACTTTACATCAGATTCCACGAGGAATTGTTTCTGCCGACAGTTTTTGTTTTCATGAGCAGCACTGTGGGAGATACAGGCAATACATTACAATAACTGTGGAGCATATTTTGACGGCATATGGAAATGAAGATGGCTTTTCGATAATTACAAAAAAATGTGCTATAAAAATCAAAGTTAAGGGTGTGTGAATGCATGTATTTTGGAAGGGGGTGTCATTTTCTCCCCCTCATCTTTCTACTAAATCATTCCTTAGTTCCTAGCTCTCATTTAATTACATTGCCCTGCCATTACTCTCCCTTGGTGTTTCAGGGGAATATAAATCTTCTGTTTTCCCACTGATCTGACAAGCTCATTATTATTATGTTTATGGGTGAGCTCCCTGTGTTATTTCAGCTAGGCTATTAGAAGGCAAATGCCCGTTAGAGCAGTCCAGCTCTCCTGCTGCTTTTGTACTTAAGCTTCCTCAAGCAATATAGGATGGGTCAATAATCTCATTATTTTTAATAGCTATGTATTTAATCTGATTTTGTTCTTTTTCTTAAAGTCATGTATATAACCTCACTGTTCAACTTTTTATTGACAGTGTTAAAGTTCTTGAAGGCTTGAGCGCATGAGCCTATAGTCCATAGTTCCAGTCTGGGCTGTTCAATTAGGCAACCATGCCCACCATGTCTGGGTTCACCCATGTGGCAGAGCACCCCTGGAGTTGGGTGGGCTTGAGATGGCCATCTGTCCTGAGTATGCTTTGTAACCATGACCTCTGGAACTTGCCCGGTGCCGGTGTCACCAGAGAAAGACCCTTCACTCCTCCGTTTCATTGTAACTCTCCTGCAGAGTCCTGAATTCTGAGGAAATGAGCGTCTGGAAGGAGTGCGTCTCCAGACCTCATTCCATCTGGGACTGTGCTAGTGTCATACCAGAGAGCTGAGCCGAGTAACAGTTTGCAGTTCCTAATTATGAGGCTATGAGAAGAAAAATAATCGATGTTTCCATATTGTTTTGCGACCTATGATAATTAAACTAAAGGTGGAGTGTGTGGATAAAAGTTCTGCTGAGAATTGTGTCTCCCTAGTGTGATACAACAAAGACCTATAGACTAGAAGGATTTTGAAATGCAGTGTATAACCCAGTGTGACCTGACAAAAATAGGCTGTATCGTGTAAGATTAATCTCCCCTGGCTATGTCTTCTTATGTACAGTCCTGCAGATCAGCAGATATTCCCTATTCCAGAAATGTCTGACTTCCCTGTAAACAAGGAGAAAACACACTATAACAATTTAAATGTTTTTTTTTTTTTCCTGAGCTCAGAATGCAAGTTTATTTGCACAATGGTAATCAAATAATATTTGAGGAATAATAGGTTTAGAGACAGATTTCTTCTTTCCTAGAAATCTGATATAATGTCTTTTTTGGAGTTCATTATAGAGCTATAGTGCTTATAGAGCTATAGTGCTACTACTTTAATATACTCTGGGATCACAGGTGAATATTGCACACAATGGGCTACTCCTGCATTATTTCCTGTGATGATTTAGATCGTCAACACTTGCCGAATTCTTTCATACCCTGTTAAAAACATCATAAAACAGAAGGATTTATTGGATAAAGCATTCTGTTAAAAAAAAATCAAAATACCATACTCTTGTCTTAATAGCATTGCACAGATTAAAGCCATATTTGTCATAATTAATTTAAATCCAGGAAACACAAGTGTCACATTTATTCAAATCCCTATAGTAAAATCTTATAAATGCAAAGCTTATAGTTCTGAGGTGCCTCCTGTAATGTACTGTGAGACCCTGGATTTGTGAGTGTTTTCTGACCATTGCTCTAGGCAGAATTGCCCTAGGTTGTTCAAACATTTTGGTTTATGCTTTGTAAACTGCTTTTTTTGTGTTCAAACCACAAGTGTTTAATTGGATAGAGATCTTGCCAGTCAAGAACATTTATTTTTTGCGTAGCTCACCAGTTCTTTGTTGAGCTGGATGTATGCCTTTAAAATAACATGCTAGAATGCCCATTTTTCGCCAAGCTCAAGCTTCTTAATAGAGGCAAACGGGTGTTTGGCCCAAATCGGGGGTTCAGGATCCCCCCATTGTAAGCAAAGCAAGCCCAAAAATTAACAGACCCTCTGTCATTCCACAAGGTGCCCATGAGTGTTTGCTCCACATGACCTGTACAGAACACTGATGAGCATGTCCACAAATCTCACACTTTGTTTCACTTGACCATAAAACAGACATTGAGTTGTCGAGTCAGCTCTTTCAGTGGCTCGCTCTCAGAAGAGGCTCCATCCTTGCAACGTGGCCATTAAGACATACTGTATTTATGTCTTAAGTCATACATACTGTATGATTAATTCATGTTGCTACTCCTTCTGAAAAAGGGGAAACCTGAATATGTATTATTATCTCTGAATAGTACTCCAGAGGCATTGATTGTCAAAAACCAGAATGTTATTGGGAGTTTGTTTGTGTTGGATTTTATATACTCACGTTTTCTGGTTATTTCCAATGACCTTCTGTCTCAAATAGCTAGACAGTCATTCAGTCTGCCACGATTCCTCAGCCACATGAGAGTCTCTCCTCTTGTGAAGCATGTTAATATCAGGTGAACCTTTTGCGGTTCTTGTTATTTTCTCACTGGTGTGAAACTGAAATGAAGAACAATAACATTTAAGAGTTTTGAATTAACTAGTTTATTCAAACTGTTATTTACTAAGGCATGGCCAAAAATAATAATAGACAACAAAGTATTTCATAAACAGCCTAACATCTTGGCTCTTTAAATTCAGGAATTATTTTATAATTTGATTTTTAACAATTTTTAACTTTATGCAATATTTTTCAGTAGTGCAACTACATTTTAGTGCAATAAGACACATAGCAGTAATCAGATGTTTCCAGAAACCTACAGCAACCATCTTAGTTGCCTCGGTAAACTTTGAATTGACAGATTACATCTAGTTTATGTGCTGGTTGTAATCAAATTGTCCCTGTTCTTTCTCCTCATTAAGTTGCTCTGCAACGCTGCCTAAGAAAACATTTTTCATATTTCAAAATTCTTGTGTACAACAAAACAGGGCAAAATGACAATGGCTGGCCTATTGTTTAACCCCTTGTTGAAGAACCACGTCTGGACCAATCAAACTCCCAAATATAAAATAAAAATATAAAAACAAATGCATTCCCTCTGCATCTTGACGGACAGACTTTAGTTAAAAGGAACAGGAAAGTAAAAAAGCAGCAAATAATCATTTTTTTTAAAGGTATTGAATGTACATCAAGTTCAGGTTCAAGTTTCAAGTTTATTGTCATTACACTCATATACATGGTATATGGTATAACGAAATGCTATTTAGCTAGCTCTCGGACATAAGTAGTACAAAGAGAAAAAAAACAACAACAGCAACAACAACAATACAATTGTGTAGCAAAAGAAAGACAGAGACAACAGGCAGTCTGCAAAAAATAACAACAGACGATGTGCAAAAAAACAACAACAGGCAATGTGCAAAACAACAAAAAGGTAACAGGTTATGTGCAAAAATACGCATCAACAGAATAAAATAAAGGGATAGAAATTATGGGGAGTGAGCTTTTGACATGTATGGTAGAGGTAGATTTTCAATGTGTGTTTGGGTTTTTGGTAAGAAAGAAAGAAACGAAGAAGGCACTGTGAGGTTCAGATCATAGGTGAGAGTGAGAGAGGCTGGGAATTTAACAGTTTGATAGTGCGGGGGTAAAAACTGCACTTGTGATAAGACCCCTACTTCGGGATTGTTTTTTATGCAAAGGTTGTTGAGTGCTTAGAATCAAAAATGGGCGTATAGTTTGCCTCAATTTAGCTTCAGTTTACAATACAGATCCCAACTTCCCATGCATTTAATCCATTTTCCAACACCTAAAGATTCAGATCAATAATCTTCATCACTTTCAGGAATTACACAGACCAGTAGCCTTTTCCTTCTCTTTTCCCTGTGCAGCTAGTGGATGAGCTGGTGACGAAGTGGGCTGCCTTCCCAGAGTCCCAGCACACCCCACTGTGCGCCCACCTCCTCGGTCTGGCCATGAAGTCCGTCACCCAGATCGCCATGGGCGACCGCTTCCAAGAGGACCACGAGGTGATCCGGTTCCGCAAAAACCACGATGCCGTAAGTCCCTGCGTGTCCCGTGTCCAGTTGATAGCCGCAAACTTAGAAGAAATCCCGGCACATAAAAAAAAAATAGGAACAGAAATGTTAACGTGATTCTTATACATCAGACAATGCTCTTGACATTTCAGCCAGAAAAGGTCAGAAATAATCATCAATTCTTCAATCAAATGATCATAAAATCTTAACTGGTGATTCTATATTTTTAATAAAGGAAAATACATAACTTTTATTATAGATATGCTGTTCAGCCCAAGGCCCATAACTACTGACAGTATTGCAGTAATTAACCATGTAAAGGTCATCCCAGTTTTAAAATCTGCTTTCTGAGAGACGTTCTGAAAGTCCTCTTCAGATACACTGAAAATCGAAGGTTAAAGCAATCTTGAAACCGTACGGAGAGCTTTCAAATACAAAACTTTTTTTTAACTCTATACACAATCCAGCTGAATATGTAAAAGTATGTCCATTGTGAAACATTGTGTTATTGTACAGATAACAGCAAGCAAATCTGGTTAACATTTTAATTTGCTTCCAGAGTGTGCGCGATATACCTTCTAAACATTTTTTCTCCCTATTTGGTTGCCTTGTTAAAGCGCAAGATAATTCAAAATCGTTTAAGTGCCAAGGACTTCATATTTATCTTAAAACTGTGGTCTTCACTGAGTTTGGTGACATTCTGGATTAACAGAGCATAAAATAATTAGCTTTTATTTCACTTCTCGGAGACATGCAAATGGTGTTGAATCATCAGATATCTGTGCAGAAAGTGTACCATTTTAATCTCTGGAGAAAAATGATCCTTTCTTCTTACAAAATGCAGGCAGCATTTTGTTTTCCAATAATTAGCTCTCTGCTGCCAGTCTAAAATTTAGTGTGACCAGAGTTGATTGATCAAAAATGTGAAATGGAGCATGCAGCTGTAAGTCATTTATGTTTTGCAGAGCTTAGTTTGCTTTCTGTAGTATTTAATCATAACCTTGCCTTAAAAGTAAGGATAAACACAAGATATATCCCAGGCTATTCTCCTTAAACCCACCTGAACCTGTGGCTTTATGCTGATTGCTTGACAAACTCTGAGAAATTAATTAAGCTTTCTCTAGAGTCCTAAAGCAATAGCTTTAAGGCCTTTATCTGTGTTTGCATTTTCTTCTGTGAAAGTCTTTTTTTTTGTGAAGTCTGATACATTCAGAAACATGAAAACAAAAGATTGGGGAAATGTAAACCTTTTGCCAATCTTAAATTAATCTCAAATAAGAGGACAAATCAATGGCTCCTATACACCTGCCAGATCTTCTAGAAATCTATTTGCAAGCAAATTGATTTTGAGGCTGTGAGTTTGTCTCTGCTGTCTCTTTTATTGTACTTGTTTTTTGGGGGTCCATTTGCATTATCTAAATGTAAGATCTTTTCACTTGTAAGTGCTCTGTAAAATAGTCCCAAAGGACTGTTACAGACTTCCTTTTGAGTTGAAAAAAAAATATTGAGACAGAAGTGTAATGTAAATTCAATTGTATTAAAAATGTTAACAAAAACGGTTGGAATGAAATGCATAGACTACAAAGTACAGACAGCTGGCTCCTGGCACCTCAAAATCCATTCTGTCCTGGTTCTATAAGAAATCCAAATCAGTTCAATAACAGCTCTCACCTTACCAGTACTTAAAGTAGCCAGCAGTTAATCCCATCAATTCAGATTGTTTTACAGAAAAGGGGGTTTAGGTTTTTATTTTTGAATTGACCAGTGAGTGCTTTGGGGGATGATGAGATTCTGAATCATCCAGCTATTAAATAATGACCTCTTGTACCCATTAGCCATAATGGCCTAGAGATGGCTGGCTTGAACTTGGACTTAGATTGACAGTAACTTAGGTTCCTGTAGCAGTAGCTCAAAACTGTCAAAGGCCAGGGTGGGCCAGAATTTCCTTGGTTAAGTCATGCTAAAAGTGGGAGCTTTAGATGCATCAGCCCTCCGTTCGATTCTAAACAGTCCTTTTTTTACCGCAAGACTTGCAGAGGGCAGAATTTTATATGAGAAGTTCACATTCCAAAGGCAAATGCTGTCTTCATCTCTACAGAGCCGGTGCAAGGTTGAGCTGGGTGGCTAGCAATGGCTGATTAGAACCCCACAACGCAAGTACTCCTAATCCACAAAAATAGAAATGTAATTTCCACGGCTGGAAGTGTTCACCAGGGGAAAGAACATTTCAACAACTAAAACAAAGAGATTCTGAAAATAAACAGGATTGTTTTATCTTGCTGCAATCAATGCCAACAGGTGGTTTACCTCCCCTTGAAATGACAAGAAAAGAATCTAATTTGACAACCAGGTGATGTGAATTCCAAACTGCACCAGGGGAAGTGGTTTTTGTTTTACCTGTGTCATGCCTGTCAATCTCCCAGAAACACCTGCCGTTCACTGAGTCCAAATCTGACACCTCTTGCATCCCTGCTGCTATACATTAAGCACCCCTTGTCACTCAAATACACCAAACTAAATGCGCTAGGGGCTATTTAATTTTGCAAGACTGCTACTCAGTACTATTCTGTCAGTCACTACTAAACCAATGGGAATTCAGAGAGATGCATGTTTTTACTCTTGGGGATTTAGGACAGGATTCGGATTTTTGCTGACATGTTACGGCAGCCCCTCTCAAAGCAAGCTCAGATACGTGTTGTCTTCGCAGGTTTGGTCAGAGATTGGGAAAGGCTACTTGGATGGATCTCTTGACAAAAGCACAACAAGGAAGAAGCACTACGAGGATGGTGAGTTTGGCCTTTGGATGTTATTTGACAGGTCTTGTTCTTAAGTGTTCTTAAGTTCTGTTCTTGCATATATATTTTAAACAAAAAATGAAACTACTGTATATAATGCACTTGATAGCCCACAAAAGAAAAACACGTATAATTTCAGATCACTTACATATAGGGATAGTGTGCCACGTTAAAAGAACTTGACTTGTAGAACCTTAGTTGTGAAAGTCTTCATTCTGTATACGTAACCTGGTGTTCATGTTGAGATGATGATTGCTTTTTCAAGGGAGACTTAGCCTGTTTAGATAAGTGTGAAATTGTTATACCAAGGGAATTAAGGAGGAACCTTAAGTAGACCAGATTGAATAAGCCCAGAATGCAATTTAGTTTAGATACCAGGGTTAATACCCCTTCTCTTTTGAAAAGGGCCATGAGCTTTTTAAAGAATGATTAATCAAGCTCTTTGGTTCAACATCTCATCTCAATGACAACATTTCCTGCAGCACACTGTCCTTGGTCACCATACTGGTGCATTGGTTTGGAAACTCTGGGTCCAACAGAAGAGCATCACCTATTGTTCCACAAAACACCATGTGAAACAGCAACCTGGAAGGTCTTCTGTCTGAGTAGTGACCAGTCCCAGTCTTGCTTAGCTTTTGAGATCTGACAACATCTGGTAACCTGGTGGGAATGCTGCTGCTTAATTAACCCAGATGCCAGATTAATCAAGCATTCAGTTGTGCATACAATATAACACATTTCCTACACTATAAATAGGCCACTGGGAGCTTGCTTTAGGTGGGCTTTAAGCACATTCTTCAAAGAAAATGTTCTGCCCCTCCAGGCCTGGTATAAATACTGTAAATGTTGCTCCTGGCTGTGTTTCAGCTCTGTCAGACATGGAGACGGTGCTGAAGACAGTGGCCAGGGAGAGAAAAGGAAAGAGTTTCAGCCATCTTGCCTTCATTGACACACTGCTACAGGGCAACTTCACTGAGAAACAGGTAAACATCCTTACACAAATATTTAGTTATAAACGCAATGTGTAAGCAAAGTCAACAGTTTGGCTTCTTTATCTTTGCAACACATAAAACACACAAGATATAATTAAGATTCAGTAGACTTCAGAAGTGGATCTGAAAAGCAAAACTGAAACAAAGTTTCTCACTGAATACCTTTTAGCTGGGCTTACAAATACCTATGAAGTTCAGAGGCCATTATTACTGACTGTAAAAAACATTTTATTTTGATTTCACTAATATCCTGAATATATATATATATGAGATATAAAAAAAGAGATATTTTCTTTGCTTTCTAATACATTAAACAATTATTAACCCACAATAATCGACAACAGTGATATCTCAAAACTTTTTTTCTCAGGTACTATAGGCAAATTCCTGACCTAATATACAGCTTACAGCTTCAAGCAAACTACTATGTGAAATTGCTGTCTAGCCCTAGCACATATTGTTAAATATTGACTTTAGTGTCAAAACTGGACATCATATTCTAAATTGAGGTCTGACTAGTGCCTTTGTACTTCAAATCCTTTGATATCGCGCCCACTGTAAATTCCTTGTAAAATAATTTAAGATGCAGTGAATCAATAGTAGCACTGCTGCCTCCCAGCACTGGCACCCTGGGTTCGATTCCCCACTTGAGCGTGGCGTTTGTGTGTTCTCCGTGTTCTTGTGGGGTTCCTCAAGGTGTTCTGGCCCTGGTGTGAGTATGGGCATGTCTGTGCGTCTGCCATGCGGTGCACTGGCATCCCATCCAGGGCGTGCCCAATCGTGCCCAATCGTGCCCAATCGTGCCCAATCGTGCCCAATCGTGCCCAATCGTGCATAGGCATAGGCTCCGGCTCCCCCAAGGCCTTGAACTGGAAGAAGCAGTGAGCAAAGGAATGGATGCAGTATTTCTACGACTGCACAGATACCTCCACCAGTAAGACCAGTAAGTGGAAAACTTGTCTCATAGCTAAAATGACCCCTGATTACTTCCATGTTATTTAGTGTAGATTTTATTTAGAAGCCCGCTATATCACTGTGTGCTCCCTGTTGAGTGACTTCAAAAATATTGTATTTGTGGGGAACTAGATAAAGAATATTAGAACATAAACTGCTTTTGTCTGTAACTATATTTATGGTCTGTTTTTAGGTTGTAGAAGACAGTATGATTTTCACTCTGGCTGGCTGTGTGATCACTGCTAATTGTGAGTGTTTTCACATTGTTCACATACCGGCTCTGTATAGATGAAGACAGCATTTGCCTTTGGAATGTGAACTTCTCATATAAAATTCTGCCCTCTGCAAGTCTTGCGGTAAAAAAAGGACTGTTTAGAATCGAACGGAGGGCTGATGCATCTAAAGCTCCCACTGTCAGCATGACTTAACCAAGGAAATTCTGGCCCACCCTGGCCTTTGACAGTTTTGAGCTACTGCTACAAACACAAACACTGCTACAAACACCGTTAGATATGAATATGATACGCATATGGCTTGTTTTGTTGAACTGAGCACAGAGAATTATGAAAAAATATGCATTTACCTGTATTATTAATGGCTTGTTTGCATATCTTTTGAGAATGCTTTTTTGTGTGTATTTTGTGCTTTAAAAACTAGGACTAAACTAGAAATGTGGCCTGTTTAGTTATAACAGATATAACCCTAATTTATATGTTTATTAATGATCAAATATGCAATGCTTAGTTTCAGACCAAGTGAGTAGCTCATCACTCTTCAAGTAGAAAAAGACAGTGTGACGTAGGCGGACATATTAATTATCAGGATTGTAAAAAAAACTGAACATTTTAAATATTCAAAATATTTTTGTTACTGTTTTCTTAATTAAATATATATTTTTAAATTTCATATCATCTTTCTTATCCTATGACAAGAGCAATTTACCCAGTGTGTCCCCCCGTTATCCTGTTTCTATTCTAGTGTGTAGCTGGGCCGTTTACTTCCTGTCGACCTCAGAAGAAGCTCAGGAAAAGCTTTTCGAAGAGCTCAGCCAGGTCCTTGGAGAAGATCCCATTTCATTGGACAAGATAGATCAACTCAAGTGAGTTACTGTTCTCCTTGGGAAATTTCAGATTGTGTACAGTAGAGCAGGGAATGGAATCCACAAGCCTCCTGCTTATCATTCCATCTAAGTTCTCTGTTATAGACTTTAACCCTTAATTGACCTAATTATAGGATTAATTTGAACTGTTCGTTTTCAGTCCTTAAACGTGTAGCAGGCTACGTTTTAGTTGCTGCATTTTATAAGTGACCCAACATCAGTGCAGAGAAAAAAAACATACACCTACTGTATGTCGGCCGCAGCCTTGTCACCCTGCAACTCACAACTAACAGCCCACTGAAGATCAGCAGGTGTGAGCCTGGTCAGTACCTGGATGGGAGACCTCCTGGGAAAGAGGTGTTAGTGGGGCCAGCAGGGGGCGCTCACCCTGTGGTCCATGTGGGTCCTAATGCCCCAGTATAGGGACGGGGACACTATACTTTAAACAGGTGCCGTCCTTCGGATGAGACGTAAAACCGAGGTCCTGACTCTCTGTGGTCATTAAAAATCCCAGGGCGTTTCTTGAAAAGAATAGGGGTGTTACACCGGCGTCCTGGCCAAATTTCCTATTGGCCCTTACCAATCATGGCCTCCTAATTATCCCCATCAACTGGCTTCATCACTCTGTTCTCCTCCCCAATGATAACTGGTGTGTGGGGAGCATTTTGGCGCACTATGGCTGCCGTCGCATCATCCAGGTGGAGGCTGCACATTGGTGGTGGTGGAGGGGAGTCCCCATTACCTGTAAAGCGCTTTGAGTGCAGTGTCCAGAAAAGCACTATAGAAGTGTAAGCAATTAATTATTAATTATAGTGAATGCAAGCCTCTTTTTAGAACAGTGCAATCTCTAATGTTTTTTAAACATGTTTGCACATGCCAATTGTGTGACAACAGATGTTTAGAATCTTTGATAAAAATATAAAGCACATACGTCAGAAAACAATTATTTTCCTTCCAGCTTAGCCCAGTGCAGTCCATTCTAGTGCTCTGCTTGACCATATAAGTTGGTCAGGAGGTGTACAGGAAGCTGTGCGATGGTGTAGCCATGTGGCATTGTGCTGTGTTGCAGGTACTGTCGGCAGGTGCTGAACGAAACAATACGAGTATCAAAACTCACCCCCATCGCAGCCCGACTGCAGGAGGTGGAGGGGAAAGTGGATCAGCATGTCATTCCTAAAGAGGTACTCAAGAATCCTTTGTGAGTTTTAATTACTGTGAGTCTGCTGAGGTTCGTTTCAGCCCTGGCACTGCAGGAGCATGACCCAGCAGGCTGAGCAACTGTAAGATGCAGATCAAAGTTTAGGTTGGTTGCCTGAAACATCATAGACGTAGGCTGGCAAGAAAGGTGAGACTGACATTCATTAGACTGACACTCTAATGGTTTTATTTTACTGTAACTGATAATACACAGTACTTGAACTCTTTAAATGCCTTTTCCTGTAGCACATAACAGTTCACAAATAATGCAATAATACAATTTATTACAGTTACAAATTATTAGACCGTCTTTTTGCTTGTTTAGTTTGAAATGATTTATTAGGAAATAAAACCATCAACAAGTGAAAGAAAAAAAGGTTAGAGTCTGCTTTTAGACTCCAGTGCCTAGTTGTGTTAGTGAATAGTGATTCCTGAAGACGGATAATTGGGAGTGGAGTTAATTGAGTTGAATATTCCAGTACCTGGTTTACTGAAGACTGAGAGGGAAAAGTTAACAAGATTTAGTGAGCATTGTGTGAGTGGAGCCAAGGGAAGACAAGAGGATTGTGCAATCTTCCTTGAGAGGAGACCTAAAAAAAAAAAGAACTAGGATCCATCCAGGAGGGAATCTGAAATAGTTTTTTCATGTTTTAAGTGGTCTGTCCCCCTAAGCTGGCTTGCTGGCAGGCTTGGGTTGTATGAAGGGTGTGGGGAAAATAGACCCATGTTTGCTACAATGCAATAATATGAGAGAATTTCTTGGTTACTGCATCTTCTGATGATATATGCCATTAGTGCACTTGCTGACAAGAATACTTTGTCGCACGCTGTCATTACAAGCAGGCATGAAATATGTCTTAAGTCTTATCTGACACAGCAGAACTGTAATTTGGCCTCTGCTTAGAAGCATCTATATCATTCTCAGCCATATAATAAATTTTATAAAAGGAGGTAGTTTTATCTGAATGGCTTCTAAAAGCTTTTGAATGGCGCAGTGGTGCTTAGCTAATTTCTTTCTTGGTTTCTCACGGGAAAGCTTAGTGTCAGATTCTCCCATCATTTTACCTTTATTTTTCTATATAATCAAAATATTCTCTTCATCAGCCTTACAATCTCATACTGTCTGCTCAGCAGCATGGGAATCAGACATCCATTTCCTCTCTGTTCATTGGTTTTTCAAAAAATGAAATGTCAATCTCAGTTGATTTAATGTCAAGTACTATGCATTTGTAACTCTTCTAAAGCTTTGTTATAATTGTATTTTGATATATGGTATAAATGTAATTATTTGAAATGTAGTATTTCTCCCAGAAATTGAAAGCCGATAAATTACACAGTTATTGTAGATACTATTGATATGGAAGGAAATGCATTTCTTCTTTTACCATACTAGGTAAGGTATACTGACCTGCTAAGCTACGTTCTGTGTAGGTAGATACTGTATGAAAAGTGTAGGTTATGAATAGTGTATATTTCAACTCAGCAATGGTGTGTATTAGCTTAATTATATTTTTACTCAGACACGAACTTGCAAGATTTCACTATTTTGTTTTGCACCGTTTAATCCTCACCATTTACTGTACATGATTCTTTACTGCTGCATGTCTGGAGGCCTTATCACCACAGGGCCCTTATTGAAGAGACCCAGTGACATCTTTCACTGCCTTCTGCCTCTTGGGGTCAGTTTCTAAGAAGGGCAACCCTTAACACTACTTATAAAAGGCATGCAAACCTGTGCAATGAGTTTGTACTTTATTTTGCTGTAACCACCTTTTTTAATTCCTGTCTCTTCAGTGTAAACCTGCAATTGTGATTAAGCTGAAAAAAAAACGAGAGCAGGAGTTTCATTTTATCATATAAATAGATGTGAGATATTTCTGTATATCTGAATGCACATACAACTTTTTAAAAGCTCTGCATGGAGAACATGAACAGTTTCATTGTGAAGGTTTTTCTTTTACACAAAACATGAGCATTCTAAACAAGAAGCACAGGTGTTGTGAAAGAGCATCTGGAAGTGAAGTTTTATCGGTGGCTAAATGCTAAAATGACAATTGAGAGCAAAACAATAATTTACATATTCTGTTTCTACCCTCCCGTATGAGTAAGAGATGAGTCATAGAATATTTTTGTTTCTTGCTGTTTCGTTTTTTTGGCTTTCTTTTTTTTCCTGTCTCAAATGTGCATATTGGAGAAAGGAAGAGAGGAGTTTGAGCCTCAAGATTCATTCCCGCTGCTTGTGTGAACAGACTGTTCGGCCTGACACTGCCTGCTTGGGAACTGGAATTGTTTCCATGTACTGCCTCTCACTGAGCATAGAGTTTGTGCAACATGGATAGGATTTAAATAAAATGCATTGAAATAACATATAAAAAAACTGATGGATGAGCATTTAGATTTGATAGATGGACTGGCAACTAATAGTTGGGTTACATTTTCTTGAAAACATTTTTTGTATGCCTACATAATCCATAGTCAGTATTTACACCATAATAATGTTAATAGCTTTTATAAATAGCATTGTCTTTATCATGTAATTTGATTGATTATTCTTGTTACAATCTCATTTAATCATCAGCATTCTGAAAGGGTTATAGCTGTGTAAATTATGGTCATTTAAATAGACTTGAAAGCTACAGTATAAAAGTGTAAAAGCAGACTGTATACGGTAAAAAAGCAGACTGACTTTGCACGATCTGATTATATCTGTATGATTTTCCAGCATGTTTAGAACTGGAAGAAGGTCAGAGTTTTTAGAACCTTTAGTGTTTTTTTTTCAGATGACAGTAGCATGCTACCATATCCATTGATTCATGGTGCTTCACAGGGCTTTTTCAGCCTAATTAATCTTCATAAGTGAACTGTATTTCAAATTCCACACAACGTGTATAAATCATTCAGGCAGAGTTCGTTTTTCTACTTTTTGAATTGCTTTTTGTAATGATTTATTTTCATGCACGCCTAAAAAATAAGGCGATTTGCACAAGGTAGAATAAGCGAATGCAATTCATTATTATGAAAACAAAGCAATCTAATACTAGTTAACACAGATATTGTGTGAAACTGTGGTTAATTACACATTAATAGTTGGAAACAAAAAAAAATCATGGAACAGTGTGCTTACCCCCTTATATTAAAGGGGAACTGCTGTTGAATTAAGCAGAAAATTGTGAACTTTGTGAAAGTGCTGTAAGTTGCCATGTTGTCAACCCCCTGGTCTTGTCTTGGGAGAGCGTGACAGTTCCTGCAAATGAAGCGGCCCTTCCTGCTCACTAGTCATCGTGATGGCTAATGTAATGAGTCACGTAATTGGAATGAATCATACGATGTATGAGTGGACAGGTTGTGCAGCATATATGTCACAGTAGAAAATTTCCATTGTGATCTGCAGGCAGAGTTAAAAAAGTAAGTTCTATTTATCGGCAAAACCGTCTCAAAATCGAGGGCAATATTTCTATTGGGCTAAAAGAGATGTAGAGTACTCACAAGCCTGCTTGTTTACAATGTAATAGGGCCACATCATGTCACCAGAGGTTTTGTTGCCTCGTTTTGAATCGCAGAACATGACACTGCACATACCTGGAAATTTTAACAATTTGGTGATGTAAGTTGAAGGTTTTACACATTAGTCTGTACGTTTTACTTTTATTGTGGTTTGAAATGCACTCATCAGTGCAGATTCTTTTTATCCCCAAAATATAAAACTAGCATTGCAGTTCCTCTAAGTTCTGATCAGGACTGACAGTTGCATCAAGCACCATCTCTCCTCTGGCAAACAGACCGTCTTGCACAGCACAGTGCTGTGCAAACTGCTCCTCCTTTTCTAGTCAGCAGAGACAGAGCTGGCCTTCACCAAACCTAAAATCAAATCCCATTTCCCCATTTTCCAAGGTTCCAAAAATGTTCACTAATATATGTTCAATTAATATAGACATGGTATACTGTATATTTTGAAAACAACAGATCATAAAATATAAAGTCATTTGGGATTTGTCTTTCAGAGATGTATGTATTTTGGATATGTATTTTTTATAAACATTGAAACGATACATAATTATACTGAATAAATGTGCAAACTAAACCAAAGACCAAGAAACCAAGAAGACTGTATTACTAAACCAAAGAATAATTATTTCAACTCCAAAAACACACCAGACACCTAGTCTCTAAAGCAACTAATTGAAAGTGAATTTGAAAATAAAGAATTGTTTTTTATTCCATGCTTGTGAACGAACAGAAGCCACTTTCAATCAAAGCCCTTAACGCATAAACCTTGGCACAGAAAACTTTTTTATTGCAGCTTGTTTTTCAGATTAGTAAATACCGATAACAATAGTCAGGTACATAACACTTCTAGAGAAGAAAAACTCATTTTGTAGTATTGTAGAATAAAGGCAGATAAGATGACAAATGCACTACATTTTGTAGATCTCCACCCTATAATTTTTTAATGCATATATAAATCTGTAAGATTCAGTTCCCAGATGCATTCTCCCAGACTAGACTGTCCAAGTGGAGAATTTCTATTCTCTACAGACCATGTACACACAAATTCAGTCAAATTTAAAGATTATATTTATAATCTGGGACACATAAAAGTGCAGTGTACAGTAAGTGCTGGTAGAAGATATGGAGTATTTCCTCTAGTACATTACCTGAGTCATGTGCATATGACTGACAGTTATCCTGGTTGGGTGTAGTTCATTGACTCTTTCTTTGTTCACTAGACTCTGCTTATTTCTGCTTTAACTCTCATTAATTACAAAATGTTTGGATGTGTTTCAGACTCTGGTGATCTATGCCCTGGGGGTAGTTCTCCAGGATAATGCCACATGGACCTTGCCCTACAGGTTTGTGAATCCAAACATATGGCCGATCGCAAATCGCGTGCAAGATTGCTTGCCCTGATGCACATGCAGTACAGTCCAGTGGCCTCCAGATGTCGATGTAGCTGACTTAGATTTCACGCAAAGAATTTGTCATGCAAATTTAAATGATAAATTCTTCATATGTCCATTTGTTGCGATGGAATTATAGTTTAGAGCCCTCTAGACATTGTGATAAAATTATCTCAACAACCTGATCCAGAATGGTTTAAATAACATGACTGCGTTTTTCCAGTTTTACAAGAAACTGTAGCTGTGTAAGCTAACGAACTCCAGCAAGTTAATAAACCAGACCTGTCGTTTTTAAATTCATCTGTACCATCTCCTAGAAACCTTTTCCTATACAGTTCATCTTGATTAGAATGTTAGTTTGCATAACCTTATGTAATAGACGCACAACATAACAACAGGTAAAATGCTCTGAACTGTTTTGTCATAACCATCTTCTTGTTTCCAGAAGGACTTCTAACATTTGTATACCATTAAAATACTGGGAGGGAGGGTGAAGTGTTTTAGCTCTGCTTTTGGCTCTGCCAAGACCCAAAGTGTTACCTCAGCTAAGTCAAGTGGATTTGTGAAGGTCGTACCTCGTCTGACCTTTCTTCACAGTCCCCGTTTGCTTGTAGCAGAAAGGCAGCTGTTAGGACTGCTGGCACTTAGCTGGGCTTCTTATCTCTGCTGTACAGGTTTGATCCAGACAGATTTAATGAAGAGTCTGCCAGGAGGAATCTCGCTGTGCTCGGCTTCTCTGGGAGCCAGGAATGCCCAGAGCTGAGGTAGCCACATGCTGTTTCTTATTCCATTATTTTCAAACGGGTCGCCCATCATCTCCAAAACGAGCCACCTCTGACGAGACTCGTTCAGTGAGCCGAAATGGCAGGAGGGAGCAGATAAAAGGCAGAGAGAATGGTATATACAGTACTTACAGGGTTTACGAGGATTTATGGAGCTGGTCTGCAGTAGATACATGTACACCTGCAAGGCCCTCCTTGAGCAATTAATCAATTAATTAACTGTTCAGCCCCCAGAATGGCATGAACACTGCCAGATCCACAGACCAGAGCTCCTACCCCATACCTTCTCTGTCTTCTGTCTCAGAAACTAGAAATATTACTAATAATATTGAACTATTAAGATTAAACCCGCTCACGACTGATTTAGGTAGACGACAGTAACAACATGTTCCACTTTAGGTATGTATACCAAATAAAATGGTCACAATACAGGGTCATGGTTTTTTCTGTACATTTCTTTAAAGAAGCCATAATGTGTACCTGTATGTATGGAGGCAAATGTAGTGACACCCTTGTCTAAAATAATTGTATGTCCTTGGTTAATAGTACCTTACCAACACTCGCTGCTGTGGCTGTACAGTGTATGAAATAAGAAGACATGCATTAAAATGTTGGCCACATCCTATCTCCTCTATTCCTGTTTTTTCCCACATATCTATTACCTTTATGGACATTTTTGTTGATTGTAAAGTTAGTTTTCTGTTCCTTTAATACTGCTCTTTGACAAGATTCATACAGAGTACAAGTAACTGAATTAGCCTTTCTCTCTCTGTGGCTCTGGAGCTATTCTTTCACCTATTGTAGTTTGAGCAGATTCAAGTCACCTGTTCAAGGTTGGGGATTATGAAAAAGGAAAGATAAATGGCAATTATTTTAATGTTTGAATGACTTGTATGTTCCTAATGTCTGTATTTACAATAGGACAGATACTATCATGGCTAAGGCAGTGTATTGTTTTTTAAAGCAGTTAGGTCCTTCACTGCTAACTTTGTCTCCTTCACTGTGTATAGTGTGGGCACTTGTGACTATGTCCTTTACTGCAACTAGGCCTTATTTCTTTACTTGTGACACAGAAAGAAAGCTGGCCATCTGTTCAAACATAGCCTCCACAGAAAACGAATTAGATCTTCAATGTTCCATATTTTGACTTCTGTATAACAGGATTTGTTGTAATACTTTGGTATTATGTATGTTCATATACCCTTAGGCTTTTAATCTAAAATGACTTAATACATATTTTTAGAAAAATGTTTTGCCTAATTTGTAAAAGGTTAAGCAAAGTAAGATAGAGAAATAATTGACTCACAGGAATGTGATGTCAATGTTAAAGAAATTAAAAAAGGTGATTTATGTTTTTGGTTTAATGCTCCTCAGATATATACAATATATTAATTTACAGCATTGGATAAATTCTCACTTTTGCTTGCTGTGCGCTTCGCAGCTTGATGCAGTGCTCAAGACACTATGTCCTGCATGTACCAGTTGCACACACAAAACGTTCTTGTGTATGTGTGCATGCAAAAAAAAAAACTATGGGCATGATCCTCTTTGTAGTAAAACACTTCTTTTGTATAAAATGTACAAAACTGAAAGTTGAAATCATGTCCTCACCAGAACTTTTCAGCTGTGCTCTAAATACCCGATAATAATTTCTCTTTTGTGAAAAACTTTGTCAGAAAAATTCGATATCCATGATCTCCATGGTTTTTTCACTGCTGTAAGGACTGTTTATATTACACTCCCACATTAACATTGCATTGGCATCTGTAGTACACAGTGGGAAGAAATCGGTTACGCAGGAATATGAAAACAAAGTTGGAGTGGTTAAAATGCTGTAGATGCATCCTTTCAAAGTTTCAGCAGTGAGTGATTTTGTGTTGTGTTTGAACAGGTGTTGTCTTACATGATGAAGCAGAGTTGTCTTTGGACCCTGGATTTTTTCATGGCTCAGAGAAACTTTGTAGCTCTTGTACATAGCACAACGGAAAAGTAAAAAAATTATGCAAAACAAGCTTCCAACTATGGCACTGATTAGTGTGATCACTGAGTGTGTGGCTATTGATTACATCACTCATATAAATATGAAGTGCCCTAATCATATACTGCTACACAGATAGAGGTGGTAAAATTGTGGAAAGCTTTTTTAGTACACAGCTGCATGGTTCCTCTTAAGAATCGGGTTACAGTGCATTGCTTGAACAGCTGGATGCATTTTTCCAGATTCTGACCAGCAGCAAGTAAATGCTGAAGGAGAAGAGTGGCACAAGGGTAATGGAAGGGGAAACTGGAGGGGTCTGGTTAATACAGCCTCTTTAAACCTGGGCCCAGTCAATAGGTGATCATGACCAGTCAGGCTGCTACGCTATAGTGATCTGGGACTTGTGCAAACTGTGCGAGCTTGGATCAATGGAAACTCTCCAGCAACACACTGTGGAGCTTGTGTTGTGCAACATAGTGAATGGCTATAAGAGTACAATAATGCTATTCAAAGAATAGTGTGTATTGTCTTCACTACCCACCATGCTGGATAAGAGACGTAGTGGAATCAATCAAGCAATTAGTTGAGGGAATTAAATTTGGAAGAATTGGTCATTCCAGTGTTTCTTACACTCAGGTAACTATACAACTAGCAAATATAGATTGTAGGTATTTCAACATTTGTATTAATATTGCATAAACACCACTTTCCCTTTAAATGTGCTAAATTTAGTATATGTCTCTAGAAACTCATAGCATCTGCTCCTTCCCTCCTGGTGCTATTCCCTGCTATGGCACATGTCTTCATCAGTTGTTTCCAAATCTTATATATTTAACACATCACATCTCTGCATTTTCCTTAAGTAAACTCTTATCCTGTAGCAGCAACAGTCATTTGCATTTACTGTATAAAGAGCTTCTCATCACGAACCAGGATCACACAGCACTCCCTATTAAAACCTAAGATGAGTCAAAAATTATACACAGGCTTCCCGTGGGGTAAGGGAAGTAAATGACATACAGATTCATACCCATACCAATCCAAGGGCTGCAAAGACTGTGCAGCGTGACTGTGACTCAGATGCAAAACACCAAGGAAGATTAGAAAAAAAGAGGCAGCTGACTGAGTCAAGCTCTGTTCTTTAAACCACACTCCAGAAGTTATGTAGTAGGTGATAAAGTAATACTGCAAAATTGTTATGTTGGGCATAGAAGACAACAGTGAGAAGATTCCATTAAAATATTCCTGCTGGAAGTCTAAGCATACTTTCTAACTGTTCACAGCCAGGGACGTGCTCTGGTTAATAACATAAAAATAACAAGATGTGGCTAATATGTCCACCTAGCTTGTTGAGTCGCTGGTGGTTAATTGATCCTTTGACCTTATACAGCCATTTCTTGAAAGAAGCCAGGGTATTGGCCTTATAATTAAAACTAGTTAGGTTTTATAGCCTAATTACAACCTACGCCTGTCTTATCTTTGTCCCGTGTTCCTTGTCTTGCCTCTGTAGGTTTGCCTACACTGTAGCCGCAGTGCTGCTCAGCACTCTTGTGAGGAAACTGAAGCTTCATCAAGTCCAGAGCCAGGTGGTGGAGGCACGGTATGATCTCGTCTCCACTCCCAAGGATGACAGCTGGATCACAGTGAGCCGGAGGAGTTAGGTCCGGCCAGGCTGGCTATTCAAGAGGTCCAGTCGCACAGGGGTGCAACAGATATTTGGTTTCTGCAGGGGTGGCTGAAAATCTACCTTGGTGGAATGCCTGATGGCATCCTGACCTTTCACAGGAGATCATGACTTTTTTCTATCAGATTCTCTTGAACTGTTAACCATTCTAGTACACTCACTAACCAAAATATTAAGAACTCCCAGTAAATACATGGTGGTCTTCAGGAATATGAGGCAGACCTCAATTACCTTCCCTGAGCAAACGCCTGATCTCAACCCAACTGAAAAGCCTTGGAACCACAGCATCACCAGACCTGAAGACGATCATGTTAGAAGAATGGGGTAACACCGGACTGCAAATATTTCAGAAGCATGAGGCATACATACAGAGGCCCAACATTTTTCAGTGGGAATTCCTAATATTATAACCATTTAGTATATATTAAATGCTCATCATGCTGACTGCTTGCATCTAATTTGATGGTTTGATTTAAAGCCAGGTGGAGTACGAGCATCTTTCATAACTGAAGTCTCTGACATTTCATTACCCAAGCTGGAGTATGTCCAGGACTAAACTAAAAGAGAGTTTTGAATGCTGAGAAATACTGAGGAAGCAGATAAGCACCAGGAACATCATAGGCAGCAATCCATGTATTGATCTGGCACAGCCGCCTCCCAGCATAGTACAGCTTTCAGGTGCAGTTTACGGGAATCGATTTGCAGTAAGCATCTTTGACTTCCCTGTAGCAGATCTGTCTTTCTCTTCATTCAGCATGTTCGTGTCTCTTCTGTATAGTGTAAGACCTTGTAGGAAAAACAAAGCCCATCTTATTCAAGGGCTAGATGTGTTTCTCAAAATGTGCAGAGAAGAGTATACTAAGGGCTGGGCGATGTGGCCGGTTTTGAGCCACTCGTATTCTCAGGAGCATCAATTAAAGTGTTAAACCCCAGGGATCCCATTAGCTGGATCCTTGTCCTTATGTCATAAACCAATCAGGCTTTGATCATGAAGCAGTCTAATGACTTTCCTAATTATTTCTCCTGCATGTTTTGACATAAAACTTGGAATTATTAAAATTGTGGTATGACTGCTTCTTTTGTGTGTGCATCTGTTCTACGATATTAAACAACAGGAGAGAATGTAATACTGTACTTCATGCTAGTGTTTACTGAGGAAGCTCATAGCAGCATGTTCCCAGTCATAAATGTCCTCTTACAATCCCCATTGTGACTGATGTCAGCATAAGTGAAAAGAAAAAACTGAAAGCTGAATATCAAGATTTTTCTATCTAAAATCTAAGGAGGGGGTTCTCAGACTTTGAGGTTCAAGAGTATTGTCATGAATACGTTTTGTGTTGAGTTAAAAAGTAGACAGGTTTGGATTATTAGGTGTAGTCCACCATGGTTCTAAAAATGAGTACCTGCCCACTGGAAACTGTAATGAACCAGTTAATACCATTGAGATAGTGCTTCAATTCAGTATCGATATGGGCACTCTAGTAATGTCTGAAAAGTATTTTACTTCTCAGCAATGCAGATATCACGCTTTTTTTTTCATTCAGTATTACAGGATGTTTCCAATACCAATACAAATATGAGAAATACTTGTCCTGTTCAGGGTGTTATTTTGTGCTGAATTTAGGACCTTGTTCTGTTCCATCTTGTCCACTTTTGACCTGACCTGAATTGAAAGGAAACTGTATGCAAATACTTACAGCTTTGCAAATGTCCTACATCCCTGCTTGTATCTCATGCTCTCAAATGTGTTTAATTAATTCATACATTCATTTGCACAATGTGCTATTTACACAGTGTAATCATCACAGTGCATCACGGACAGTAATTACAGCTTAGCATTCAGTATCGGACAGATTTTCAGCAAAAGGAAGGACCCTTGGCAAAGTATAAAAGCCATTGTTTAAAATACGATAAGGACTTTTATTTTCGGGAAGGAGGGAGTTCTATGTGGAACATATTAAAAGCCTGATATTGGAGTATTGTATAAGGTTCATCAATGCACGAATACTGTATGAAGGGAAAATATGCAAAACCTATTTCATTAAATAGGATGTGTATTTTTAATATTTGATACTTTAGCAAAATGTGCAATCCAGAAAGCAATTTTAAGTTACTTGAAAACATACACATACAGTTTATACTGCCTCAAGCATGCTATTTTTCTGTTGTGCCATAACATTGAACTGCTGACAACAGCAACCTTGATTTCCTGGATTGACTCGCAAGGGGGTGTTAAATATACATTTCTTACCAAGAGTCACCAAAAGGCAGCCCATACGCTTATCAGTGGCCCCAAAGCAATTGCAGAAACTAAGGCTATAGGTTGCACTAGTTGCATTTTTAGAAGACACTCGGATTTCTTACTGATAAGGAATAAGAGGCTCTGGAAAACATAATTACGGTCTTAAATTTAAAAAAATAGCTGTTAGATTTATACTTTGTTTGTACAATAGCAATTTCATTGAGAAAGTAGAGGGGGAAAAAGCATTATGCAATGTTCCCTTTGGGAATTGTTCAAAGCAGTGGGATCATTGCTTGGCTTTGTATTGTGACATTGTGGGGTCGTCACCATTGAGAGTTTTTGGGAAGGAGGAGGTTCTGTGTGGAATAATAATAATTTAGAAGCTTTTAATGAATAAAGAAAAGTACAGTTAGAGTAAATGGGGGGAAAAAAAACAAGGGCATACAGGTTTTTACAACCTGGAATAAATCGGATGCCAGAAATCGAATTCTATTATTAAAGGGTATTGTCATAAATGTGTTTGTGACAACACTCTGAGCCTCATAGTCTGATCTCTCAGTTGTGTTGTCCAGTCTAGAATGGGAAGACTACCTGCGCAATCGTTTCTTCCAGAGTCCTTGGGCTTGGAACGGTGCTTCACAAATAAAAGTTCTTCACCTGTTTTCCTTTAGCAATCAAAACTTCAGCTCTTCATATCACAGGACATAAGGCTGTGCTTGGTACACACCCTTTAATACCTTCAGATGCAAGATTATCACCCTCAGCTGAGCTGCATCACACAGGAAGCCATCAAATCAATGTTCTCTTTGCCTTCCTGGGAATATACTGTAGTTTCATTACTGGAACAGGGTAGCAGAAACTACCAACTTTATTAGACAAGGCTTGGCCTACTTTCTTTTCACACTAATTTTACTTTTGTTATAGCTGTTTTGTGGGTACATTGTGGGGGAAAAAAGTCAATTTCCTCCATTAGTGACACATTTTAGAAAGTTCAGGTGACAATTGTATGGTTTGTTAATCATTTACATTATTTATAGACTTTCGGTTTTGCCACAGATACCTTTGGTCCCCTTTTCACTCATGAATGCTGTGGTCGACAGAGCACCTTGTTCTTTTGCGAATAATTATTTTGGATTATTTCTAAGAACCTCCAGCCTGTAAAATCAGGTTTTGTGATGGGGTCAAGCAGCCTAAGAAAGATAACAACAGTGCACCTGTTCCTTTTGTTACAATCTGGGATACAGCCAAACCAGCTATTGACAGCCACATAATCTCAAAAGCCTACGCTCTGGGGAAAAAAAGAAACTCGTGACCTGGATAAAGAAGATAGATTCTTCATTGGCCATCACTGTAGAAATTTGTCTTTATCTCCTCCCTTAAGAAGTACTTCAACCATTAAACCACCCAAAGCACGACATAAAAATTACTGAAGTCACATAAATGAGTATTTTTCGCATTTTATGCTTAAGGTGCATGAAAACATAACAACAGTACATAACAGATCAATAAGTAAACAAATGGGAAGTGGAAGTGGGGAAATACATTTAATTATCTTCTCACAGCAGTTTTATTGCATTGGGAATAAAGAACTGTTTTTGCTTGACCTTGGTACCCTAAACCGTCTCTCCAACTATAGCATTACAAACTAGGGATCAACTGGGTGGAAGCACTGGTACGATGCGCAGCATTAGTTGTGCTTACTGGAAACAGATGCAAAACACTGCTTTGACCAGAAATCATCTTCTCTTCTTTTAATGATTAGAACTTATGCTGCTGCCACCTGTTTTTCTGATTTTTACTTGACACATCTGCTGTGCCAGCAGCCATATCACCCTGTAACTCTCAACTGGCAGCCCACTGAAGCTCAGCAGGGTTGAGCCTGGCCAGTACCTGGATGGGAGACCTGGGAAGGGATGGTTGCTCCTGGAAGTGGTGGTAGTGGGACCACTGGGGGGCACCTACCCTGCGGTGTAGGTCCTAAGGCAGGGACACTATTCTGTAGTGGGCGCCGTCTTTCGGATGAGACGTTAAACCAAGGTCCTGACTCGCAGTGGTCAGGGAGTTATCCCAGTGTCCTGGCCAAATTTCCCCCCTCAGCCTTTACCGTGGCCTCCAAATTGTCCCCATGTATGATTGGCTTGCACTTGCCCTGCGATGGACTGGCGTCCCATCCAGGGTGTACCCTGCCTTGCGCTTGTTGCTTGCCGGGTAGGCTCCGGCTTCCCACCACACAGTATGGTATAAAGCGGTTTGGCAAATGACATGACATATATGCTGTAGTAGCACATCAGACTCTGATAGTGCAGATCAGATTCTCTTAGTACAATAACTACGTGCTGCAGTTGCCGCATCCAATAAAGGTTTTCAGTAAAGGAATGCAATTTAAACAGAATCCAACAGATAAAAATAGCAAAATATATGCTTTTGTTTATGCCAAACCACAGGCTATAGAAATTGTTTCAAAAGGCATAAACTGACAGTACAGGTTTACATACTGAATAAGAATTCTCAAAGGGTCTCCTGCTATCAAGCAAAACAGATTTTTTGTTTTTGTCTACCCAATATCAACACAGAACTATTGCAAATGCAAGCTTATAGACAGCCGATTGTTTACCACACAAGACTCGATCGTTGTGTCTTAAGACCTCACAGAACGTTTTGTGTATGTGCGTATTTCCATCAGCAGTAACCTGAGAGAAGACTTTTGTCAAGACTCATTTTTTTGGAGAAGAAAAATTGGCTTGCATTTATGCTAATGCGCATTACGTAGTGTAATATCTGTTTGCTTCCCAACATTGTTTCATGTTATCCATCTTTGAGGTGTCAAATGTGCAAATAAGAGAGAATTAGGTACTCATCTAAATTTGCTTTTCTAACACACTGCTCTTTGGGAAAGTATAAATTGTGCCAGATGGCGGCACTTAAAAAAAATTGTGAAAAGCGCATTTTGGAAAATGACACAGATTTGTGAGCCAGTTTTAGGTCTTATCTCAAATCTTGGAAGTGACACATCAATCTTAGTTTTGGTCTCTTAACCACATGTTAGAGAAGCCTGCCCTTCAAATGAAAAGGGCTCTTATTACTTTTACAGGCTACGCTCACAATGGAAATAAGTTGAATTTATGCAATTGGTTCCAGTTAAAAAATGGAGTTGGAACAGAAGAGAGGGGGAACTGCAATTTAGATACCGGATTCCATAATATAAAAATAATTTAAAAGCTGAGTTATCTTCTTAGCTTCTTAATTTCACTTTTCAAATCTCACATGGACAGAACGTGAAAGGTTTCTTTACAGAATAACAGTAGTCTCTTAATTACAAGTTAACCTGGTTTCCAGATCATTGCTCCCTGTCTATTGAGGGTTGGTCATTTGCACAGGAGCAGGTGTTTCCAGGCCTGGTCTTGGTGACTCACACACCTTTCACTTTCACTCCACATGATCTCTTCACTCAGTTAAATCCTTAAGTGAGCTAACAAGTTCCTTGAAGTGAAACTTTGATTTTTTTGTTTCTTCTCAAAAGTTAAGGACTTAAAAGGAAGGTTACAAGTGAGAGACAGTTTGGCCCATCTAGACCATTTCGGAGTTGGTAGTTAAATAACTACTTTAGTAGTTATATTTCCTCCTGGCCTTTATCAATCATGGCCTCCTATCAATCCCCATCCACATCATTGAACTGGCTTCATCACTCTGTTCTCCTCCTCGCTGAGAGCTGGTGTGTGGTGAGCATACTGGTGCACTCTGGCTCCTGTTGCATCATCCAGGTGGGGCTACACATTGGTGGTGGTGGAGGGGAGTCCCCATTACCTGTAGTGTCCTGGAGTCTGGAGTGTCCA